GGCTGGAGTTCGTCTGCAGGGGTCCCCCTCACTCTACCGAGACTCAGTGGGACCTAGAAGTATTCTGTCCTGCCATGAGGATGGACACAGAGCCTGCACTCCTGCCTCAAGTTCAAGGAGCCTCAGTTATCAAGAGGCACCTCTCATTTGTTTGGCATTCATTCATGAGAGAGAGAGAGAGCACTGAGCAAGGGGAAGGAGCAGAGGGAGAGGGAGCAGACTCCCCACTGAGCAGGGAGCCTGATGGGGCACTCGATCCCAGGACTGCAAGACCATGGCCTGACCTGAAGGCAGACGCTTAACCGACTGAGCCACCCAGGGACCCCTCATTTGTTTGGCTTTTAAAGAAGACTCCAGGATAGGGACAGCTAGTTTTAACAGGACATGCTTAATGTGAGGATCTAACACTGTGCATTCTGATGTGGTCCCAAGTGGCCAAAATCTGGGAACAACATCTAGGAAAGGTTAAATTAGAGACATGGTCATAGTTGTGGTGTGGTGCTTTGAACAGGGTGGGAGGGGGATAGAGGACCTCAGCAGGGTGCTAACCTACTGCTTCCTAGCTGTGTCATCTGGGGCAAGTCATTTCACCATTCTGAGCCTGTTTCTCCATCCATCCATCCATCCATCCACCCACTGTCCATCTATGTATCCATTCACCCACTAACCCACCCATCCACCCACATACCCATGCATCCATCCATCCACCCACCCATCCACTCTCACAGTCTCCATCCATCCACCCATCCGCTGACCCACGAATCCATCCATCTACCCACCCACCCATGCATGCGTGCATATATCCATCCATCCATCCATCCATCCACTCAGTAGGCATTCAGGGAGTCCCCTAATAAGAACCGTACCAGATGCTGGGTCCCCTAATTAAGACATTGCCATGAAAATGATGTACACAATCATCAACAGAAAACTAAATTATGGACCTTCATACATGGAATGTTGTGCAGCTGTTAAGAATGTGGCAGGTCTATGGGAACGGATAGGGAATGGCCTTCAGAAATATGGTCCAAAGGAAAATAAACATGGCAGAAGCATGTATAGTGTTACCACCTGTGTAAAAAAGAAGTAACAGAACGGTCTATTTAAACACATGTATACTTGGATTTGCCTACAGAATTTCTGGAAGGACACCTAAGAAACGAGTATCAGAGACTGCCTCTGCGAAAGGAGACTGGGGAAGTAGGGATGGCAAGGACACTTACATAGCACTCTTCCATTTCAGGGTGTTTGAATTTTTTTCTTGTAGCACGTTACCTATTTAAAACTAAAAAAAAAAAAAAGACTCAGTGTCTGCATAATGATATGGAAAGACAAGAGAACAGCAAATTACAATGCTGTCCATGACACATACGTGATTAAGAAGTATAGGGGGCTGTGGAAGGAGAAAGCGGCACCTAGCTCAGCCTGGGACAATCTAGAAGGCTTCCCAGAAGAGGTGATGCCCGAGATGAGGCTCCCAGGCTGAGTGGAGGTTAAGGGAAGACATTTGGCAAGGGCATTCCTGGCAGAAGGAGTAGCAAGGGGAAGGCCTAATGGTGAGGTTCGGTATCCTGGAGCAAATCCTTCGATGTGGTAGGAAAAGTTTGGACAACTGGGAGCCAGGGACAAGGTCACTTTTGTTTAGGGAGACCCCTCTGGCAGCCACGTGCAAAGTGGATCCCAGCAGTGAGGCTGGAGGCAGGGAGACCAGTGGGGAAGCCAGGGGAGAAGAGGTCTAGACTGAGGCAGACGCTGAGGGGCAGAGAGGAAGGGACTCGGGAGCTCTTTTGGAGATGGGAAGTGACACCTCATCACAGGACCGTGTGCAGCCACTGAAATCATTTTTTTTCTTAAAGATTTTATTTATTTATTTGAGAGCGAGAGAGAATGAGAGATAGAAAGCACGAGAGGGAAGAGGGTCAGAGGGAGAAGCAGACTCCCTGCCGAGCAGGGAGCCCGATGTGGGACTCGATCCCGGGACTCCAGGATCATGACCTGAGCCGAAGGCAGTCGCTTAACCAACTGAGCCACCCAGGCGCCCCACTGAAATCATTTTAGCAAATTGATTTGCAGAGTTCCCCGTGGTCTCACCCATGGGTGCACACTGGAAGCTCCTGGGGAGCTTTAAAAACACCAGTGCCCAGGCCCCACCTCCAGGACCTGAGATTTAATGAGGCGCTGGGGTTAAACCGGGCTCCCAGATGACTCTGATGTGCAGCCAGGTCAGGGCCATGAAGCTTGGGGGTGAGGTGGTCAAAGGAATGGATTGGGGCTCATCCTGGGTTGGTGTACCATCTCCACGTGAAGGCTCAAGGCTCAGGTGAGCCTCCGATGTGCGGTCGGTCGGAATCTTTGGTGTGTTCTCCCAAAAGCAAACCAAGAAGGAGAAGTGTGGGGTTCGGCTTAAGTTGGTTTAAATAATGTCCACCTCAGAGGGTTGTCACAAGAAGGAACAGAATACCGTTGTAAGGGCCTGGCATGGGGCTTGGGTGCGGGATACACTCTTGAAACTTCTACATCCACATCTCCCTGCCGAAGTTTGACTCAGAGGTGCTCAGATCTACTTTAAGCTCATTGAAGGGTAAACGATGCCCTCTTGTGGTTAAAACCAGATTTGTCTGGGCAAAGCGGGGAGAGGGGGACATCTTGAATGTAAGTCACAAAAATTCGTTTCTTTTAGCTGCACAACCATGTTATTTTGAGGTTTGGACTGTTCTGGTAATGTTGCCCGAGCTGTTTGTGAGCGGCCTGTGATGTGCAGAATTCTGGTTCAGCCCTCAAGAGGATGCTAACCCCAGGCAGAGAGGTCTCATTTTTTTAAATTACAAAGAAAAGCGGTGGGGGAATTGCAGTGTTGCCATATATAATGAAGAAGGGAATGAGACCAGCTTAGCCTAGAGGGATTGTGAATTAAATAGAATGTGCCACACAGGACAATTTGACATGACTCCACCCAGAGGCCCTAATTGGAGATTCTTATGAGGCCCTGTTCTGTGGCCCTTTCCACAGGCTGTTGAGGGAATGGCCTTTGAAGTTCTGGACTCAGGACTTCTCCAGGACTCAGAGGACTTTTTGTTTTTTCTTTCTTTTCTTTTCTTTTTTTTTTTTTTTAACAAAGGAGGTGTATTTAGGAGAAGAGACAGCCAGCCCATGCCTGGACAAAAAAACCACCATCAGAAAACACACATCTTACTTTTGAAGAGTTGAAGGAGATTTGAGATGGTTAGCTGGTACTTTAAGATCGTATTTTTGCTAGAAAATTGGGCCTCCTTTAAGTGGGATTTGGTTGATGCAAGACCGTGGGTACCTAGCAGAATGATACCCACAACCCTGGGGGACAGATGGGGGGTCAGGAGGGACGGTGGGTAGAATGTTAGGCATGCAGGGGCCAGGGATGGATGTTCTTTAAACCTCACGTCATTGTACATGGAGAGACAGTTCAGAGTGAACTACTCAAATAGCACACCTGTGCAGGGCAGGACAGAGAATGGACAAAAGCAGTTTCTTCCCTGTGGCCTGGCTCCCCCACTACCCAGAACCATCCAGGCAGCCATCAGAAGTCACAGGCAATAGAATCACCTGTAGGGACCTAAGCCAAAAATCCCGGGCCTAGAAATCTCCATTTTCAACTCATCCCTTAGGTGTTTTTTTTTTTTTTTAATCATACTGTTACAGCCTTTAATGTATGAAATCTGAATCCCGTCAGTGATATAGACATACCTAGATAAACTTCTTGGGTCAAAGTTGTGGCTAAATTCATTTTTAAGTTCAGGGTTCCGAGCGGCTGGGCCAGTTCTCTAAAATCTCAACAGCCTTTCCTCCCAATGAGAGGAACAACGACCTGTGCTAATTCCATCACAATATTCATCACACTGGATTCTAATTACCAGCTTATCACTCTTGCACTAGATTGGGGGCCCCTTGAGAGCTGACCGGCACATTCATTTGCTATGAAGTAGGTACCAAATTGTTTGCTACATGAGTAATATGCATGTTTCTATTCAAATTGTATATATTTATCCATAATTACTGAGTATTAATCTCCAAATATTCTATAATCTGATTGAAAATCCTCACAAAGAAACTGACACCAAGGCTTCTGATGTAGCCTGTGCTAAATCATTTTTAAGACTTGTAGCTGAGGCATTTTAGTATAAAAAGCTGATACCTCTATACGCAAACTAGTAAGAACTTCAAATTCATCATCTGTTCTTTTAGCTTCGCCTTCTAGAAAAATCTTCAGCTTTATCCATTCTGGCTGCTATGTTCGGAGTTCCTCCAGTCTGGGTGACTTTAAAAGCATCATTCGTAGGTGAGCAGCTTGGCTTTCTCTTTTAGTGGTGGTAGTAGGCCTTATGTCTGTGTTTGTGTTGCTTCCCATTTTGTTATTTGGGGTCCAGACCCACCTCTGCGGTGGCCACTACTAAAGGCAGATTTTGGTAGACTTTAAAAAGCTTGTTTTGCCAGAGGCTCCACGTGCTTCAGGGCTTGCAAGACTTAAGGTTCTGCAAATTCCCCCGCGCCAGAGCGCGGTCCAGCTGCTACCATGGCCGTGGCCCTGGCTCGGCCTCACTACCCTGAGAGCACACTTCATCCCAGCCCGGGGGGCCACCAACTCCACCCCTCTACCGGAAGGTGACAAGGCCACCACAGACACAGGCGCCGCCCCCTCCCTAGCTGCTCTGTAGCTTTAGGGGATTGGCAGAGCCAGTGTTTCTCAGGTTTTAGCATTTCACAATCCAGTGAAATTACAAAAAGAATCTTCTGGACTCCTGTTGATTTGACAATCTATTTTGTAAAGTACAACGAAGAGATGGCTCTCTCCTTTCACCTTTGCCCCCATTCCATAAAACGTGACACACATCTGGCTGGCTCTGTCCATGGTCTTTACCGTCCAGTTTGCTCAGAAAGGTGCGCACATCATCATGGTCCAGCACCTGGGAGCCTCAAGGGGCTATGGGCAGGAGCCTGGGGTGAATGAGGGATCCAAGAGGCAAAGCTTATCAGAGAAAAACATGGTTTTACATTCTTTTACTCTATATATATGCGCAATACATTTATATATATATGCAAATCTGTTTTATGTACAATAATTGGTTCTATCAAATAATCATACCATGGCCTTCTATTGGTAATCTTCACCAAGATAGTTTTAGGTGAAATTAATATTTGTGCACTTTGTGGACTACCACACTTGAGCCTTCGTGACGAATTTCAGTTTTGAGGCCATGCATACAAGTCAAAATATACACAAACAGCATTAAGGCGCTAAGAGTGGGCTGAAAGAAAGCACAGGACTTGAAACGAGTGAACTGTATATTTTGCTTGCATGGCAGCCCCCAGGTGACCAGCAAGCGCTGTGTGTCTCAGAGCTCCTTTACTATAGCGTGGGGGGCTTTTGAACATCTGTAGTGATTGCGCGGCGGGTGGACAGACAGCAGGTCTGACCTGCTGGACACTTTGCTGAGGGCTCATTTCTTCTCCGCCTCTCCTTTCTTGGGTTCTTGTTTCAGTTTGTAATCCGCTAGGGCAGCCTTGATTGCATCTTCGGCCAGCACTGGAAGGAGCACAAGGAAAGACAGTTCGTAGACTGTACAGAGAGGGTCTTGGGAATCGCATCTTTAAGAACTGGAGGGCAGCAGTGCTGGGAAGGGCTTACCAGAGGCCCCCCCCCGGCCCCGGCCATGGTGCTGGGGGTCAGGAGCAGGCCTGGAAAGCCAGCCAGCTGTTTCCTGAGCCCGATTACTCCTGCCCGTGGCTTAGGAGGCAGACTAGGGTTTAAATACCTGGGATTCTAGGCTAGTCCCTCAGCCTCCTGGAATCCCCTTTCTGTTCTATAAAACTGGGACATTCTTTCCTTGCCGGGATAGTGTGAGGATAATAAAGTGACATGTCGGAAGGCCACAAGAGTGGTTAGTTAGTTCTCATCTGCTCACACGGAAGTCAGGAATACATGAAGTGAATGCTATTTAAGCTGCCATAACATAGGTCATGCCACTTTGTTGACAGGTGGCATCTGCCACATCCTCCTTAGGGATCCCAAATTTGAAAACTCTTACTTTGGAGTCAATGTTAAAATGAGGCTATGTGGGAAAATAAAAGTAAGCAAGTGGCAGAGAGCAGTAGCTAAAGGCTGCAGTGCGCAAGAAGGCCAAATGAAAAGGCTGGGGGTTTCTGAAAATGTTGACAAGCTATGACCTTTATTCCTGGGTACTTGGAATCCCAGCTCAGGTGGAAAGAACTCGGGTCTTAGCAGGCTTCCTGACAACTGTGTTAGCACGTCCCTGCCCCTCAGTTCCCCTATGAGTCTTACTCTGGCAAAAGGCCTGGCTCTCTGATTTTTAACTAATTTGGTCAGTAAGTTAAGGCTACTGTTTCTCATTCCCTCCTTCCCCTAGAAGGTTGAGAGAAGATGGAAAAAGCTTTAGATTTAAGACAAAGACTGAACTGGAAAGCCAAGTGTAAGTCTTAAGGCATCTGGGCTTTCTCTTAGGACAGTGTACAGGGGACTGTTGCACAACGGGGCTTAGTCATTCCGTACACATGGAGGCAGACTGTATACACAGTAACAGCACCTGGGAAGGAAGTGGTAACACATGAGACAGATAGGATTATGGCAGAAGCTGAATTTTCTCCTTTACTGGTCCAAACTTGACTCCCAACAGGGTGGGAACAGCACAGATTCTGGAATCAAAGATTGGGGTGTAGGGCCTGGCTTTCCCACTTAGAAGCCATGTGACTGGTGTGCTTTAAGCTGAGCCCTGCTTTCCTGGTAAGAGGGAGAGATGATGACACGGTCTGTGGACTAGAGGACAATTCTGAGGCTTAGAAAGATACCACAAAATGCTCGCCTGACGCCCAGCACACACCACCTCCTGTAAGACCCTCCTGGAGATAGGTTGTGAGACCCAGGGGCTTTAACGATTTGAGGGTTATGGACTCTGCAACCAAAATGGACTCGCCATTACTCCACACAAATGCCAGCTGATGCCATTAGAAAACTACTCCCAACTGTGCAAGCGCGTTGGCATTATGGAGCAGAGACTTACTGGAGCAGTGCAGTTTCACGGGGGGAAGACAGAGCTCCTTGGCGATGTCCGTGTTCTTGATGGTCAAGGCTTCCTCCACCTGAGAGGCATATGTGAGAGAATAGTAGTTTTAGTCTAGCTTGAGGAACAGGCAATAAAAAAGGAAGGCCATAGAGGCCCTGAGGACAGGGTGGTGGGGGATGACTTTCCATTTAACAACCCCAAAGGACGCTCACTCGTGCGTCAAGGCTGCAGCTGGGACGGTCCAGTATGGAGTATACACATTCCACCAGCTGGCTGGGTAAGCAAGGCCAGCAGAGACACTTCTACAAGCCAGCCAGTGAGACGTCTCTTAGGGGTCTGCTTGAGGCCAGTGACAGGAGTCTCTCTTTAAATTTAAAAGCAGTGGTTTCCTATTCTGGTTTTGTGAGTATCAGCTTCACTGATGTCCTTCTACCAAATGTTTAGAATAAATCCCTTCAACTAGAAGTGCTGACTGGTGTCAGGGCGGTCAGAGAGATGGCAAGTAGGCCAGTGGCACTCCAGCACTTGGCAGTGGCACAGACTGGTCTTGGGATCATCCTCTGCCCAAAAGAGAATCTATCTGGTTGAAACAGACCAAAAAGGATGCCTGAGTTTGCTCGAGTGCCCAAGGGCATGGGAGGCAGACGCACGTGGAATGGAGCCCTGCTGCTGCCTTAAGGAGAGCCGGGGGTCCCCATCTGTCCCCCCGTTTCCCAATTCCGCTGACTTCAAGGGTAAGGCTTCACGTTCTGTTCCTAGTAACTCAGATGGGAGGACCTCAAGGTCAAAGAAAGGCCCTCTTCCTCCACTTTCTGATCACAACTCAAAGGCCAGATTCTGGGAGCAGAGGTACCTTGTCTCACTTGCCCTTTTCCCTGAGGACAGGTCTTAACAGATCACTTCAGAGGCACCTCCTCCAGATCAGGTTAGGTCTGGCGTTGCCGGCCAGAGGGCCCAGAGCCACAGGAAGCAGGGGGCACAAGGCACTGCTGGAGAGCTGCCCAGCTCCCCAAGCACGCACCTCCGTGACTCAGCTCCTGAACTTGGTCCCTTGGGGCTGCAAAGATAAGCAGCCCTGTATTTTGGCTTTTCCGAGAAGTTTTAATGACTGGATTTTAGAAACTCCAGCTCTTCACTGGGTTTGGGACCTTCTACCTCTGCAGCTGCTGGGAAAGAGGCTTTGGCAGAGAAAAGAACAGAAAAGATGCTCCAGCTCCTCTCATTTCCACCCTCAGAGGGCCTGCCAACGAGCCACCTGGATCACTGTTCTGATTTATTTGTTCACTTTGCCTCCATCTTTGCTGTTTTTGATTCTTTAATCCCTCTTTTAGCACAGGCTAGTTTGTTATTTCATGAATCCTTACAAGCCACCTGCAATCCTTCCTGAAACATGATGGAAGGAAATAAATAAGAACACAAACCACAATACAACCTCTCCCACCCTTAGACTCCTAAGAAATTTTAATCAGCAAACTTGGAGAAAGCCATAGATTTCTTTGTAGAGAGGGAGAGGTGAAGATTTTTCTCCATTTAATTAAAATCAAAACTAAACAGAGGTGCCTGGGTGTTTCAGTCGGTTAAGCACCCAACTCTTGATTTTGGCTCAGTCACCATCTCAAGGTTATGAGATTCAGTCCTGACTTGGGCTCTGTACTGGGTGTGGAGCCTGCTTCTGACTCTCTCCCTCTGCCCCTCCTCCTCCTCCTCTAAAAATAAAAACAAACAAAAAAACCCTAAACAAAACACCACCCAAACCCCCAAATAAAAATAATCGACAAAAACCTCCAAAATAAGAAACACTTAACAAAATTATCCATAATCCCCAATGTAGAGAATTTAATCAAAACCTGAGGAGAAATTTAAAAAAATTCTTAGAATATTTTGAAAAAAAATCAGCCCCCCATAACTAGACCCTTCCCTTAACTCAGAGGCAGGTTTGTCAGGAATGTGATTTAATTCTGTCAATCTGCAAGCAACCTTACCGTCTTCCCTTTTACCCATTCAGTGGCTAACGAGCTGGAGGCAATAGCAGACCCACAGCCAAATGTCTTAAACCTGGCGTCCACAATCTTCCCCTTTTCATCCACTTGAATCTAGAAAAGAGAGAGAAGTTAAGCAGTGGTTCCTGGTGCTGCCCTGTAGAACCTGCATTTATGGGGTTCACTGGGGCTCTCCCCAAGGGCTTTGGTCTTGCTTTCCACATCCTAAGTTTTAACATTACTGAATTTGCTTTGTCACAAAGGGCTCGGTGATAAAGTGTTAAATGTAGGAATGATCATCAGAATGATACAGGCCTACCTGGTAAAGATAAGCTGAAAGATATGCCCCCCCCCCTTTTATTTTGCAACCCTAGTCTGCTTTTTGGCTATGAAGTTCTGCTCCTAGCTGCTCTGTCAATCTGCATCTTTAAATGCTGGGAGAGTCTGCAATAAAGGTCTCTGGTTAGTGCTTTTTAGTTTGGCATGAAATGACATCTAGTGGTTTCTCCTGCCTTGTTTTTGTTTTCCAAGATAGGCATGAAGACCTCTGGCAAGCTGCCTCCTCACCACGATGAAGTAGATGTGGACAAAGCTACGGTTTACTCAAAGCGCCAGTCACTACCTTTGTGTTGTTTCCAATTTGGGGGAGGCTTGACATGTGGCATTTCCTGTCTCACTGGGGATTGCTAACTGAATGGTTGTGGTTTTCCTTTGATCAGTAAAATTCACAAAACTTTCTACTTAGCTGAAGTTGGAATTCAAGCTGATAGTGAGTAGAAAAGCGACACCAGAAGAGGCCAGCACAGTGTACAAGAGAACTACGATTCAGTCTCTGCCCTAATAATTGTTAACTTTGAACCATGTCATCATCTCACAAGAATCCATACAGAGCCCAAATGGAAAGCTGTGCGAGCAAATGCTTTGTAAACAACGAAGCACTGTATGAGCAACGGGATCACTGGCATTACCATCAAAGATGAAAACCAGTGGTACCTGCAATTTCATTACATCACCACATGCTGGAGCCCCCACCAATCCAGTTCCAACATTTTTTGATGTCTTGTCAAGGGACCCCACGTTTCTAGGATTTTCATAATGATCAACAACCTGAAATGAGAAGGTTAAGAGAAATCTATGATCACCCTTTTTTGTTACTGGTCTCCCCAACCTGACGGTAAGCTCCTTGAAGTCAGCAAGCTGAACCTGGCAGGCAGCCACTAAGCATCAAACTTCACCTGGGGAAGAAGGCTTACATTTATGTCAACGGGGCTTTATGACCCAATCTTTTTGTACCTCTTCTCCAACTACCTTCAGAGATTTTGAGTTACTGGAGAAAAACCAGCAAAGTCATGTCTTAAATCCATAGTTTTTTTTTTTTTAAGAATTTATTTGAGAGAGTGAGCAAGAGAGAAAGCACAAATGGGGGGGAGGGACAGAGAGAGAAAGAGAGAAGCAGACTCCCCGCTGAGCTGGGAGCCCAACCTGGGGCTCTATTCTAGAACCCTGGGATCACGACCCCGGCTGAAGGGAGACGCTTAACTGACTGGGCCACCCAAGCGCCCCTCCATAGGGTTTTTGATCACAAATAATTGCCTGATCTTTACCACCTAAGTCACCAGATTTAGGCTCAAATAACATTTCTGGTATTTCCAAATAAATCCATCCTCAAAAGATGATTAGTATTAAGAATTTTAAAAATAAGTATGGTCCAGCAATCGAAGGATTTCCCGGAAGCCTCAAGGAGAATGTTACACGAGGAACAATGCTATGGAATGTGTCCTTTTGTGTATGATAAACAGTAACCGTCCTATTACTCGATTTCAAGGGCCGAAAATCACTCTGGGGGAGCAGCGCACCCTGGTGGCTGAAAGGCTGCTAGCCCACGTTCGTCGAGCGTGTATCGTCAACACACCCCTAGGCGGAGGAGCAGCGAAGTCCCAGGCCGACGCAGAAGCCAGAACAGAATAGTTATCTATTCAAACTGGCACACAGAGGGCTTTAATGTAACCTTGAGGCTTGTTTTCCTAGTTAGTCTAAGTCTCCGGATCTTCCGGTCTCTTTTACCCACTTATCCGACCACGGATTTTGACTCCAAGCCCAAGGACCTACAAGATAGTACTTCGTCTGGACTTTTTGCCCCATGTTGATTCTTTAGTTAGTCGTTTCCGAGTGGGAACTTTATGCCCTCGGAAGGCAAGGGCTGCAAACTATGCACCTATCCCTACTCCCCAACGCCGCCCCGCCCCCCGGCAAAAAAAAAAACAACGGACAAAATTAAAACATTATGACTGTTGATTTGATTCCATTAGAGGCTGAGTTCCTACAACAGTAACTGCACCGTAAATGATCTCCGTGTGCTGGGCACCATGCCGAGAACTCCAGAAACACTATCTCGTGTAGGGAAATGCTAAGAACCCATTTTACAAATGGGGAAAACAGGTTCAATGCAGAGCAGGGACTTGCCCAAGGTCATCTGGATAGGGCAATGGCCTCGCTGAAGCCGGAGCCCGCGCCAGTGTGCGTCTGTCCCTGGAGTCAGGCTGGCAGGTCATAACAGGGCCTTCCTTCCTGGGCTGTCGGGTTTTGAGGCACGAAATCGTAGCCAGCGGCGGGGCCCACGCGCAGCGGTTAGTTTTATCTGCGCAGCGAAGGAAACCTAGTCCAGTCAGAGTCGAGTGAGGGGGTGGCCCCTACCCCCGCCGCAGTGGGGGGCTCCCAAGGCCGCTCACAACCCCACGGCCACTCGTCTCCAGATCGGGCCTCCGCTGAGCGCCGGCATACCTGGGTCCTTTACGCGGTACTGGCCCCCCCGCCCCCTTGCCTGTGCGGGTCCCGCGCATCCCCTCATCTGCCGCTACCTTCTTGTGATAGAGCCGGGCCGGAGCCGACAGTTCACGGACAGGCAGGCGCGGGCTCCGCAGCAGCAGGACCGACGCCGCCCGCCTCAAACGGCCTCCTCCAGCCGCCGCCATCTTCTGGGCTTGCGCAGGCGCAGGCCGAGTGCGAGCCGGAGGAGAGGAACGCGCCCGCGAGTCCGCTCTCGGCTTGGAGCGCGCACCCTTTTACGTCACCGCGACTTCGCGCCTGCGCCCTTCCCCTCCGTGCACGCGTCTGCCTTAGGTCCCTGTCTTGACCACGCCCCTCCAGGGTGGGCGGGACGCTGAACTAAAAGACTGAAGTTGGAGGGTTTGTTCGGAGTGCAGGATTTGGATTTGAGGGGGCCTCAGGCAGGAGTGGGGACCCAAGTTTGCGTTCACAAAGCCCACCGCCAGAATGCGGCATAGTGCGTCAACCAGTCTACTTTTCTCAACCCGATTTTGCAGCTTAGGAAGTTGAGGGTCAGAGAGGTTTAGTAACTTGTCCACGTCTGTCCCAGACAGACTGATTTGGGATTTAAGGAAGGACAATCCTGAGTTAGAAACCGGATTCTGCTCCTTCCTGGCTGTGTGGCCCTAGGCGAATGACATCATCTCTTTAAGCTTTGATCCTCGCTTTTGTACTAATTCAAGGACAATTCATTGAGCAAGTGTCATGTGTCAAGGTGCTATACTAGGCTTTGGGGATCCAACAGAAAGAAAAACACTAATTCCTTACATGATTAACTTGCTAATGAACGAAAAAGGCAACAAATAAACAATATTTTCCTACCTCAAAAATGGGAGCGTAATTGAGGAAACGAACAGGCCATACCCCGATTTTTTTTTGAAGTATGTATGTATATGTCTGCATGTATTTCTTTTTATAAAGCAGCAAACTGACATATTTATATGACAATGCCTGGAAATGAAGAGTTTCTAAACGCTTAGTAATGAAATTTATTAATATTGGTTCAAAGAATATGATTTTATAAAAAGTAGAAAACACACCTGTATTTAACACTTACTTAGGCACCAGGTATTACATAAAGGGGAGGAATCTTTTTGGGAAATAGGTTTTTCTCGGGAATGGTGCAATCGACCCTTCCCCGGGGACTTAAGAGTTTTCTCTGCGTTTGAGGCTCAGTTGCTGGGGAGACTGAACCACGCGCCAGGTCGTGTTAGGCGGTAAGGAAGGCATTTATTCCGATTCCTTTTGACCTTCTCAAGATGGCGCCAAACCCTTCACTTCAGTCATCACTCCCTGACTTCCTCTACGGCCTCCACTTCCTGTGCAAAGACCCAACATCTGTCCGAAGTTGCGACGGAACACATGCCGTGTTGGGGTGTTCTTATTCTGAGAGAACTTTTACACCTATGTAAAAGCAATACTAAGTTTCATGCATTCCGAGATTTTTCCGCCATTCGAGGCTCGCAGTTTCTCTTTCGGTAGTAGGGAGAGCGGGGGTTTGATCAGGCGCACGCCGCGGGCAGCTTTTATTTCAGCGGGTCTTCGGCGGCCGCGAGAAGACCCGGGAGTCACTGGAAGCGCAAGATGGCGACGGCGGCCGCAACATCGACTTCAGAAACGGAGGCTGAGCCCAAGGCCGGGCCCACCGCAGAGGGCGAGGAGGATGACGTTAAGACGGCTAGGACGAGGAGGAAGGTGTTATCACGGACCGTGGCCGCTGCGACGTACAAGGCCGTGGAGCCCGGGTGGGACCAGCCGGAGGAAGGTGTGAGTGAGAGCGATGGGGACGAGGAGTACGCCATGGCTTCCTCCGCGGAGAGCTCCCCCGGGGAGTACGAATGGGAGTATGACGAAGAGGAGGAGAAGAACCAGCTGGAAATCGAGCGTCTGGAGGAGCAGGTGCGTCTGGGGCTGGGCGGCGGGCTCTTTTCATCAGGTTCCCAGGCCCCGGCCCTTCTCCCCGGTCTCCGGCGATAATAAAGCCGCCAAGGCCGCAGAACCGCTATTAATCACCGGGTGCTTTGCAAGCGTTATCCCGTTGAACGCTCGCAGCGACCCAGTGAAGGAAGTGGTGTATGCCCCGTTTTACGGGAGGAAATTGAGGCTCCTCGTGGAGGGAATTCTGTAGCTGAGGATTACGCTTCTGCAAGTGGCGAACCAGGCCTTGAACTCTGAAACGACTCCAGAGCTCCCGCTCTTAACCACACCGTTAAACTATGGTCAGCAGTAGCAATAAAATTGTACTCCTAAGAGAGGGGTTTTTTTTTTCTTTCTTTTCAGTAGCGATGCCCACAATGATGAACTACGGTGTAATAGACAAAGCAGTGACGATGCTAATAGAAATGGGACGGTAGAAATTTCAGCGTCTGGAGGCTAAGGCCCCAGTTGTAGCTACTCCATGCTTGTGTGAGCTTAGGCACATTTCTTAACTTCTCTGAGCCTCCGCTTTCTCACCTGTAAATTGGGAGCAACAATTTCTGCATCATGTAGTCGTCGTAAGAGTAATTAATAGCCCGGTGCCTGGCACCTCTTGGTACTGTGATCTCTAATTTATAACTCCTGTGTAACCCAGGGTCTCAGCATTAGGATAATTTGAGAGGAGGTTAATAAAGGGACTACTGTGTTTATTAAAGTGTGGTCAGAGAGATCAGGAGTGGAGGTGCAGTACCTCAGGGCTAGTGACAGCAGGACATTGTGTCCACGTTTAGGCCCGAAGAGATGAGGGGAGAAAACCGGCCAGTTTCTGAATAGTTGTGTGGAGAGGGCACCTGAGAGCAGGTGAGACCTTTAGTCAGGGGGTGCAGCCCCAGCTTCCCATCAGGGATTGGGGTGGGGGAGGAATACCCTGACCTGTTTTCCTCTCTCCAGACTTCTGCAGGTGCCCTTTGCGGGGCAAACCCTGCTGGAAGCAAGAGAGCCAGAGACCCCACGGATGTGGCCCACACAAGAGGGCACAGAACAGGGAGAAGAGGGGGAAGTAGAATTGGGAGGGCAGGGCACCTGGGTGGCTCAGTCGGTTAAGCGTCTGCCTTTTGCTCAGGTCATGATCCCAGGGTCCTGGGATCGAGTCCTGCCTTGGGCTCCCTGCTCAGCGGGGAGCCTCTTCCCTCTACCCCTGCTCCCTGTGCTCTCGTGCATTCGCTCTCTCTTCTCTCTCTCTCTCGCTGTCTTGCAAAAATAAATAAAATCTTTAAAAAAAAAAAAGAATTGGAAGGGCAAGCACATTCTCATTTTAGCGATGAGGAAACAGGCTCAGAACAGATGATGAAATAATTTGCTCAGTCACTCACAAGGGGAATTGAATTTATCAGGGTTGTCTGTGGACCAAAAGCCACACTGATAGGAAATCACTTAGTGATGTGAAGTTGTTAACCTGCGTTACTCACTTAACCTTGCTGGGTGTGAGATTCCTTATAATGTCATCCTTAGCAGTGATATTTTTGTTGTGAAATAGTGATGATACCCATCGGTATCGCTTGTTTCATTTGTCATCACATTTGAATGTCAAAGGAGCCCAGTTGGGGTAGGGAAGTGGTTACCTTTCCTGTTTTTTAGAAATAGGTACGCCAGTGTTCACTCAGTGTTTTATTCATTCAGAAAATGCAGTGTAATAATAGGGTGCCAGGCTGACTATGTCCTGTCCTGATGGAAATCTGTGCTTCTGACTTCTAGCCTTGGGCTTTTCCACGAGCCTTTACCTCACTCTTCTGTGAGTCAGGGGAAATAAGGATTAGCTGTTTGAGCGGAAGGGGAAGCTTGGAAGCAGAAAGATTAAGTCCTTGGTGAGGGTAACCAGCTAGCGAGAGAGCAGGATGGGTCAGAGTAGAGGTCTCCTGGCTACTGGTGTCCTGTAGTTGCCTGCCCTACCTCAGGTCACAGAAGGTGGTTTGGACTCAGACGGTGACTACACAGTGATGTGAATTGAAGAGCCTCTGGCTTTATCAAGCTCTTTGTCATGGGGTCTAGAGATTGATTTTTCCAATTTTTCCAAACCTCCCTCCTACCTCATCCTGATCCCATAGCCTCTAGTTCCTGCTGTAACTGCTCTTATGGTGGAGTGTAATGTTGGAAAACTTTTAGACAGGCCTGTGAAAAACTCAACCTTGTCATATTTGCAAATTCCAGGTCTCTGAGTGTATTTTATGGAAACTTCAAGTTAGTTGCGGTGTCTGTCCATGTAACAAAAACAAAGATTTCCCGTTATCTGTGTTTGTGTCCTGAAACGAAAAGTGGCACCAGCTCTCTGAGCCTGCCGTGTCCTAGGTGGTTGAAAGTAGGGTTGTAACAGTGCCTCCCTCACAGGGCTCTTGTGGAGCTTAAGCGACCTGCCGCTTACAAAGCTCCTGGCAAATTTGACACATAGTAGGTGCTGTGCCATGGCCCGCTCTGTACTTTCCCAGCCTTTCCGTGATTTCAGGGGTTGTGTCTTTTGGACCAGGCCTCTTGTTGTTTCTTCACCACCGCTCCGGGTCTAGGTTGTGCTGTTAGGGGTTAGGAAATCAACACATCATTTTGTGCATTGATTTAAGCCACCTCTTTCTTTAAATCTTCCTTTGTTATTGATGTTCTGAGACCAGAATAGACCAGTGTATGTGCTCACTTGTCGGTGCTAAGCGAACTCTGTTGAAATGTCTTTTAAGTGCATCTCTGTGCATTTAATACACATACTTTTGGAGCACCTCTTCTTATATAGTGTCTTTATTATTTGGGCCTTCTTAGAAATCAGAAATTTAGACCAAAAGCCATCCTGGGAGGCAGTTTCTCTACTTCATTGACTTTTATACCTTTTTTTTCTGACCTACAGATGATGGTATTCATGTAAGGGGCACTTGTATAGACATCAGTACACTAACAGGACTTCCCACCCCACTTCATGCTCCAAAACCACATTCAGACCCAAGTGAGTTGAGAGCAGTGGGTGACAGGGAGAGCCTCTGCCTCTTCTTTAACTAGAAAAGTACATTTTGGGCAAACTTCATTTCTTTAGTTAGTGTTACTTGGGTGCACACTTGACAGTCGGTTTTGAAACATTAGTGTGTCATGACAGCCCGCTTGAGAAGCAAAGGTTTACTCCGGCTCCTTCCTGGTATAAGTGAGGAAGCTGAGAACCAGGGGTGAATAGAACGCTTGTGTCCTGACCTAGTCCAGTCCCTTTTCAACACATCATGTAATCATGGGATGGGCTCAGCTTGGTCAGTTTTATATATCATGAGCAGGAGAACATTGCTAAAAGTCTTAAGATTAAAAAAAAAATTATAGGTCAGACTCTTGCCTATTATTGAGTCTTTATTGTCTTTTTGCATGTAATTTGATAACATAAAATTTCACATCTGTAAATTTTGAATTGTGGTGATGAAATAAACCCTACTATGCCACCACTTGGTCTAAGAGTTAGAACTTGATCAGTAGTGTTGCACATAATCAGCTTTGCCCTTTCTCCATGGCCCTGCCTCCCCTCCAAAAGCCCAGGTAACAACTTTCTTGAACTGGTGTGCTTCCTTTTCTTATAAAACATGTATAGTTTTATCACCCTCATATGTGTCCCTAAATAATATATTGCCCACTTTTGCTAATTTTTGAGCTTTTGGAAAGAGTATCATGCTACGTGTAATCTTTTGGGACTGCCTTCTACCCAGCAGTGCGTTTCTGGGATTCATCTTGTGTTCCTTGTAGCTGCAGTTCGTTCATTTTGCCTACTGTATATTTAGTACACCATTGGGTGGGTGTCCTACCATTTATCGGTTCTTCTAGCATTTGGATTGCTCACAGTTTATTTTTATTTTATTTTATTTTTTTTGGTCCTGTTACCAGCAAGCTACAAGGAACATTGTTACTGTTGAAATGTGCTATTATTCAACATGTATAAAGATTTCTCTGAGTGTTTTCCAGGCTGGGGTCATGGTCATGGGTCATGAATTCATTTTATTTTATTTTATTTATTTTTATTTTTTTAAGATTTTATTTATTTGACACAGCTAGAGAGGGAACACAAGCAGGGGGAGTGGGAGAGGGAGAAGCAGGCTCCCCACTGAGCAGGGAGCCTGATGCGGGCCTCGATCCCAGGACCCTGGGATCACAACCCGAGCCGAAGGCAGACGCCCAACTGACTGAGCCATGCAGGCGCCCCATGAATTCATTTTAATAGACACAACCAGTGCCGCTCTGTTATATGTCTTCTGTCTGCGGGGCTTTTTCTTTTGTTCTGTTAGTTTATCAATCCTGTGTCAATTCCACGGTCTAATTCGTTGTTACTCAGACTTGCTACCTGGTGAGACAAATCCTCCTCTGTGTATTTTAATGCAGTAGCTAGTGTCTAGATTATTGAGTACATTGCCAGAGTGTTAGTTGAATGAAGGAGAGGGAAATACTTAGTGCTGAAATGTTGTGGCAGATGTTGGAAGAGTAGACACTAGTGTTCATGTATAGACTTAAGGGAACCCTATACCCCAACTCATATGAAAGCTTTTTGAAAAAATTAAACTTTCTAATTTGAGAAGGTTGTAGATTTCCTTGCAGTTGTAAGGAATTCTACAGCGATCCTGTGTACGCTTTACTGGTTTCTCCCAACAGTAACCTTTTGTAAAACCGTAGTGTAATATCACCACCCAGATGTTGACGTTGATACAGTCAACACAGCAGTTCTGTCACCACAAGGGTCCTTCTTGTTGTCTTTTTATAGTTACAGTTCCTGACCTCTGGCAACCACTAATCTGTTCTCAATTTCTATAATTTTGTCATTTCAAGGATGTTATGTAAGTGGAATCATACAGTATGTAATCTTTTTGGATTAGCTTTTCCTATTCAGCATAATTCCCTTAAGATTCATCTGACTTTCGGGGCCCCTGGGTGGCTCAGTTGGTTAAGCCTCTGCCTTCGACTCAGGTCATGATCCCGGGGTCCTGGGATCCAGCCCCATGTAGGGCTCTCTGCTCAGCGGGGCGTCTGCTTCTCCCTTCGCCCCTGCTTATGCTCCCTTTCTCTCTCTCTCTTTCTCTCTGTCAAATAAATAAAATCTTAAAAAAAAAAAAGTTAATCTAAGTGGGGTACTTGGTTTTCATTTCCTTTTTCTGGCTGAGTAGTATTCCACAGTGTGGGTGCCCCACGGTTACTTTAACCATTCACCATCGAAGGATGTCTGGGTTGTTTCCGGTTTGGGCTACTAGGAATAAAGCTGTTATGAACATTCGCATACAGGTTTTGTGGGAACATAGGTTTTATTTCTCTGGAAAAATACCCAAGGGTGCACTTGCTGGGTGATGTAATTGTGTGTTGAATTTTGTGAGAAACGGCCCAGCTGTTTTCCAGAGCTGCCATACACATTTTACATTCCCATCAGCAACATCAGCAATGTATGAGTGAGCCAGTTGGTTTTTTTTTCCTCCATCTTCTCCAGCATTTGGTATTGTCACTATTTTTTATTTTAGTCATTCTGTTAGGTGTATAATGATACCTTATTGTGGTTTTAACTTGCATTTCCCTGATAGTTAATGATGTTGACTACTATGTGCGTTCATTTGCTGTCTGTGTGTCCTCTTTGCATATGCCTGTTGGTTCATGTCTTTTACCCATTTTCGAATTGGATTCTTTGTTGAGTTTGGAATTGTATCTTTTAGACAACTAGTCCTTTGCTGGATATGTGGTTTGTACATATTTTTTTGAAGTCTTTAGCTTGTCTTTGCATCCTCAGTAGAGTCTTTCATAGAGCAAAAAGTTTAAATTTTGATAAGGCCCTAACTAGTCTAGAGTTTTTATCATGGTTGAATGGTTGTTAGATTTGTCAAATGCATGTTCTGTATCAATTGATACCGTGATTTTTGTTTAGCCTGTTGATCTATTGGATTACAGTGATTGATTTTTCAAAGACTGAACTATGAACTAGTCTTATGTACCTAGAACAAATTCCATTTAGTTATGGTGTATGATTCTTTTTATACATTGAATTTAGTTCTGTAAGTTTCCTCTCCATACTGCATTAGCTCTATCCCTTATTTTGACTTGCTGTATTTTCATTTTCATTCAGTTCTACATATTTTTAAGTTTCCCTCAAGACTTTTTCTTTGACCCATGGATTCTTTAGAAGTGTATCACTTAATTTCCAAATGTTTAAAGATTTCCTACCATTATTGATTTCTAATTCTGTTGTGATGAGAAAACATACTCTGTATGATTTCACTTTTTAAAAATTTGTTACAGTTTGTCTTACAGCCCAGGATTTGGTCTCAGTAAATCTTCCATGGGCTCTTGAGGATAAAAAGTTGTATTCCGTTACTCTCAGATGGAATGTTCTGTATATGTTAATTAGATCCTTTTGGTTGATGATACTGAGTTTCTTCTGTATGCTTGCTGATAATTCATCTAGTAGTTCTTTTAGTTGCTGAAGTGGAGGATGTTGAAGTCCCTATTGTCAGCGTGTATGTGTCTCTTTTAGCTCGAATAGTCTTGCTTAATCTATTTTGAAGGTCTGTTGTTTGTTGCATACCCATTTAGGATTGCTTTGTCTTCCTGGTGGGTTGATCCTTTCATCATTTTGTAATGCCCCTTTTATCCTTGGTAGTTACGTTTTCTCTGAAATCTGCTTTATGTGATATTAATATAGCCACTTCTTTTTTTGGACTAGTGTTTACATAGTATATCTTTTTTTATCCTTTTACTTTCAGCCTTCCTATGTCCTTGAATTTGAAGTGAGTTTCTTGTAATCAGCATATGGTTGAGTTGTGTTTTTATCCACTCTGCCATTCTCTGCCTTTTAATTAGTATATATATTTTTAAACGTTTATTTATTTTATAGAGAGAGTGCGCGAGGGGAGAGGGAGAGAAGCAGGCTCCCCGCTGAGCACAGAGCCCCATGTGGGGCTCAGTCCCATGGCCCCGAGATCATGACCTGAGCCGAAATTAAGAGATGCCTAACCGACTGAGCTACCCAGGTGCCCCTTAATTAGTGTGTTGAGACCGTAAACATTTAAAAAATTTATTTATTTGTCAGAAAGAGAGAGCGCACAAGCAGGGGCAGTGGCAGGCAGAGGGAGAAGCAGACTCCCCTCTGAGCAAGGAACCTAATGTGGGACTTGATCCCAGGACCCTGGGATCATGACCTGAGCCGAAGGCAGACACTTAACCGACTGAGCCACCCAGGCGTCCCAAGAGCATAAAAATTTAAGATAATTATTGCTATGTTAGGTCTAAAGCCTGACATTTTATTATTTTCTATTTGTTTCCTCTGTTTCTTGTTCTTCTGTTTCTCTTTTCTTGCCTTCCTATGAGTTACTTGAACATTTTTTAGGATTCTATCTTGATTTATTTATAGTGACTTTTAGTGTATTGCTTTGTATAGTTTCTTAGTGGTTGCCTTGGGAATAGTTTATTTGACTTACATGGTATCTGTGTTCTACCACGGAGTGAAGTGTGGATACCGTCCTTCCATTTAGGTCACTTTAGCATCCTCACTTTTAAATATTGTTTTGAGTATCAGGTGGTCTTAAAATTTTTGTGTCAGTGAATCACATACAACATAGAAAACTCACGAGAAGGACCATCCAGGATACTTGTATTTCATGCTCTTTCAGTTCTTCCTTCCTGATGCTACAAGATTTCTTTTATCATTCCCTTTCTCTTCCTTTAGCTATCTTTAAGAGAAAGTCTGCTAGTGACAGATTCTTTTAGTTTTCTGTTGTCTCAGATGTCTGAAAGCTTGTTAAGCAGTTATTTTAATTTGTTTTAACTTTTAGTTTGAAAAGTTTCAAATATAAAAAGAAATCTCTATGTGCCTATCACTCAGCTTCAGCAGGTGCTGCCATTCTTGTTCCTCCCAGTAGGGGTTTTGTTTTTATTGTTTTTGTTTGTTTAGTAAAAGAAAAGAGCTCTTAACCTACATAGCTGGCAGGTGCTAAAGCATGTTGTTAATCTCATTTTAAAATCCTCAAAAGATGGTGATGGGTATTAAAGAGGGCATGTTCTGCGTGGAGCACTGGGTGTTATGCCCAAACAGTGAATCATGGAACACCACATCCAAAACTAATGATGTAATGTATGGTGATTAACATAACACAATAAAAAAAACTATTAAAATAAAAAGTAAAATCCTCACAAGAATCTTAAGGACTAGACCCTAGTGGTATCCCCATTTTACAGATGAGGAAATGGAGGCTTAGCAAAGTTAATGACTTGCCTTAGGTCACACTTGGTGTTTGTTTCATCAGAATATTTCTGTATTTCAGAGAACAGCCCAACTGGGTTCTCATAGGGACTGGAACAGAGTGGAGGCGCTGTGCATTTATTAGAGAAAGCCCCGTTCATTGATTTTTCTTCCTCTTCCTGGGGGTGTATTTTGCATTGCTGTTTCAGTGGCTCTTCCAGATAGCCCATCTATTTTGTTTGTAGCGGACACGTGCGTTGTCACCAGTGGTGAAAAATGCTAAGTTATTTTGATGGTGGCATTTTAAATTTCACCTTGTGTTTTCTTCCCCTCAGCTGTCTATCAATGTCTATGACTACAACTGCCATGTGGACCTGATCCGGCTGCTCCGGTTGGAGGGGGAGCTTACCAAAGTGAGGATGGCTCGCCAGAAGATGAGTGAGATCTTTCCTTTGACTGAAGGTAACGCGTCAGCAGTCGGGCTGCTTTTATAAACACAGAGAACTGAAGAGTATACATTCTGTTTTCAATGCTGAAACTGGGACGTGTTGCTACAGAAGTGTGGAACATATAAATACAGTGGAAAGAAGAAAGCCCGTCATCCAGTGTCAGTGATTTCTAGTTTTTCATCTTTCAGTTTTTTGCAGAACATAGTCATGATTGTGTAGTACTGACTCATGTTTTGGATCCTGATTTTTTTTTTTTTTTTTTTAATCCTACGTCATGATTAAACTTGTCCCATATTTTTCTGTTTCCCATTCCGGTGTTCATTTTCTCAGCACCAGATAACTGTATTATTATTAAACTTTTATAAACAAATTTTCATGTAAATGTTTCATACCTTGTTTGTTACACAGTGGTTGGGCATTTAGATTATTTATACTTACTTACTTGAAACAGAATTCCGCTGTGCCTCTTGTAGATCAGTCTTCATGAATGTTTGTGATTGATCTTTTCGGGAGGAATTGGAAAACACTGGTCCCAGATCTAGCTCTGTCCCCCTCTCCCTGCCCAAAAGCATAACTGCCGAGTATAGAAGCTGAAATCAGATTGCCCAGATTCATTCCTGACTGTACATCTTACTAGCTGTGAGACCTTAAGCAAATTATGTAAACATTGTGAGACTCAGTTTTCCCAGCAGTAAAAAGGGGCTAGCAGTAGTTTCTACCTTATAGTACATGGATTGGATGAGGTATTCTGTGTACAACATGTAATAAATGCCCTAGCATGTCGTAAATGCTTAGATAGATGCCATCGTTATTCATTATTATGACTGTCAACTACAGGAGTTTTAAAAAGATTGAATAAGAAATCCATAGATGTAAGTACTTAGCAAAAATATAAAATGCCCAACAGGTGTAGGATATTATGATTTTAATTATTTGATCTTATTTGGAAGCATAAACCGTCTACGTGCTCGGTACAAGTTTGAAGAATCGCTGTATAAGAGGGGTGAAACGCTTGTGTGCTCATGACTCGCAGTAAAGTCCCTGCTTTCATCCTGCCCTTTGGTGAAGGAGATGGTGATGCAGGAGGTGCTGTTGTCTTGCAGAGCTCTGGCTGGAGTGGCTGCATGACGAGGTCAGCATGGCTCTGGACGGCCTGGACAGAGAGCACGTGTACGACCTCTTTGAGAAAGCTGTGAAGGACTATATTTGTAAGTTCCCTGTGTGCTTTTTTGAGGGGTCTGTGGATGCATCTGTCTCTGATGCCCTGGGTTGCATTGTGAGGTGTTGCTCCTCAGAAAGGAGAGTGTTAGTCTGGTCATTAGAAAGATTTGAGTTTACTTATTATTCTCATTGTGGTTTTCTTTTCTTTTCTTTTTTTTTTTTTTAAGATTTTATTTATTTGAGAGAGAGATTGAGTGAGAGAGAGCATGAGAGCGGGGTAAGGGGCAGAGGGAGAAGCAGACTCCCCGCTGAGCAGGGAGCCTGATGCGAGACTTGATCCCAGGACCCCGGGATCATGACCCGAGCCGAAGGGAGATGCTTAACCAACTGAGCCACCCCCAGGCGCCCCTGTCTGTGGTTTTCATATGAGGATATCTGGTTCTAAAATACAATTAGAAGAAATGTTTGTAGTAAGGGAGTGAATATATTCACACCCAGCATTTTTTTGGCAGGGAGAACTTACATGGTAATTCCAGATGACTAAAGGTTGCCTTTTACACATTGAATGGGTTTTTAGAAGTTTGGACAGAACGTTCTTTTTTTTAATATTAGAAGGTTTTTAAAAACTTTTTATTTTAAAATAATTATAGATTGGGGCGCCTGGGTGGCTCAGTTGGTTAAGCATATAAAGATATGCTGCAGATAAAGAACCCCCATCACCACAGGAGTCTGTGTTGTGCGTTGTCTGCTCGTGTTGGTATTTTGTCAGCACATGTGGAGTGTAGACACCTTCTCTCCCTTTAAATTTCTTTACCCTCCCCTGTTGGTAGTATGATTCTCTAAATATTCTCTTTACCTACATATAGGACACATCAGAATGTTACGGACAAAGAATTTTTTAAAAATATTTAAAAAAATTTCCTCCTTTTAAAAATTTTTTTATTTTTTAAGATTTTATTTATTTGAGAGAGAGTGCACTTGCAAGTGGGGGTTGGAGGGCGGGGAGGAGTGGAGGGAGAGGGACAAGCAGGCTTCGTGCTCAGCCTGACCTTGAGATCGTGACCTGAGCTGAAATCAAGAGTCGGACGCCCAACTGGCTGAGCCACCCAAGTGCCCCCCAAAATTTCCTCCTTTTAAATTAAACATCCTGTTTCCATATCTGTTTTGTCCCACTTCCCATTGTGGGCATTTCCCCTTGTGAGAAGCACTGGAACTTGAAGATAGACTGCCCCGAGGAAGAGAAATTTTCATGTGCCTTTACCAGCCAATAGAATTGATCAATTTTTAGTTTTTATAATCCGAATACTGCAAATTATAGGTGTTTTGTGAATATGAAATTACACCACATGTGCTTTTAGTATTTTTGTGTGTCTGCTCCGATCCACCATGTGGCTTCTTAGAACCTCTTGACGGTTCCAAGGGTGTGACACTCCCATGTTTTCTGATGATCCTGTCACCCCTTTGTGAAGGTCTCAGAGTCCTCATTAACAGCACCTCCTCAGACTGTAATGTTTTTCAGTCCTTGATGGTCTGCAGTCACCCTGCTGTCGGGCCTCCACCGTCAGTGCTAAGTCAGCGTGCCTTCCTATCCCTGAGCTGCTTCAGGGCTGCTGGGGGTCTGGAAGCCAGATAACCATGCTTCTTAGATTAGGTCTCTTAAAGTAGTTTTGAATGGGGACCCATGGGGTTCTTGTGTTAGCTTCAGGAGCTATAGAGCATGGAAATTGTGTCCCTTGTTTTGTTAATGTTCGGAAGCCACTTTGGCCTGCTTCAAGAGTCGCATGCTCTAGCAGTTGAGCCAGCCGGGCGCCCCTCTCTTCTTTTTTTGTTTTGCAGCCCATATGGCAGCTCTGTACTGGTGAGCTAAAACAGAGTAGCTAACAAACTTTGGCTAAGTTGTCTGAAATAAATCTGTTTCAAAGAAAAAACAAGCCCCAGGAAAACATACAGTAATTGTCAAATTGACTTCTTATCTTTTAAGTATTTTTATTTTATAAGGTTAATGGATAGGCCTGTGAAATTATTTTCAGATCTTTGAAAAGTGACTTAATAGGCAAAACGTGTACAGTGGGAACCACTGCATTCCTAAAGAGTTTAATTCATTTGTCTGCTCTTAAAGTCGCAGGGGTGAGTAAATAAAGTTTAAGAAGAAAGTGACAAAAAACAGGGCAACCAGATCTTCTTTGTTGTTGCTGTTTAAACATCAGTACAAAGAGAAACTTAAAATATAGACTTCTGGTTATAGGATTGGTGGTTTTAATTTGTTCTTTGACTTTGACCAGAAGGCTTATTAAAAAGGTTCAAAAGTTAAATTCTAGGCTTTGAAATCTTTCCGAAAATTGACTCAGATTAGTAACTATTTTCATTGAATCCCTTCCATTTTAATAAATAGGCTTTATAATCATGAGCGTATTTACATATTACCTGCTGGCATATTCTGTTTGTGCAGTAAAATCTCAATAATTGTAACCTAGTAGGGACATTGTTTAAGATATACTTTCTTTTGCAGGTGCAGTATGAGTAATATTGTATATTGCTATATATATGTATATATGATATATAGTATATGTGATATATAATATATACATTATATAATAATATATATTGTACATACATTAGGATGCTTGTTGATGTGCTCTTGCCTTTTTGCATGAATGAGTACTGTTTTGGTGGGCATATTTCTTTCGTGATGCACTGGAACAAAAGTTTTGATTTTTGGGTATTTCATATCCTGAATTAATAGAGCGCTTCTCCTTCTTAGGTCCTAACATTTGGCTAGAGTATGGCCAGTACTCAGTCGGTGGAATTGGTCAGAAAGGTGGCCTTGAGAAAGTCCGCTCTGTGTTTGAAAGGGCGCTCTCATCAGTTGGCTTACATATGACCAAAGGACTCGCCATCTGGGAGGCTTACCGGGAGTTTGAAAGTGCCATTGTGGAAGCTGCCCGGGTGAGTGCCCCGGTCTCTGTGACCGGTGCTTGCCTTTGAGTAGTCAGGGCTATCTTTGTAAGTGGCCTTGGAAGAACACAGTTAACAAAATGGTCCTCGCCAGTCCCTTAGTGGGTGGGCAGTAAAGTAAAATCAGTGGTCTTTGTGGAACAGCAAGATTGATTTCTTTGACTCAAAGATGACCCTGTAATTTTTCTGATATTTAAAAATACTATTTCAGTTACTGGTTACAGGTGAATATACAAGAATAACTATGTCACTCAAAAAAATACACATGTATGTATATCAGTCGTGTCCAGTAATAACTGCAAGAGATAAGAGATTTGACCCCATCATAATTGGATTTTTTAAAACTCTGACTCAAGGATTTTACAGTCCCCTCCCAGTGTGCCCCCCCCCCCCCGGTGTTTGTGTGTGTGCGCAGAGTTACCCTTGGTACCTAGTGGATGGAGCCCTGCGGTAGTAGTTAGATGGTTATTAGTAAAGTAGCCCAGGCCCTTGTTGATTACATCCCTGTTGAAAAGTCTGCAGTGGTGCCTTCAGCGTATCCCAACAGGCATCGGGACGAACTCCTTCGGCTGACATTTGTGGCCCTCTAGCATTGGACATAACCCTGCCCCCCCGCACAGTCGTGCACTTGCTGGCTACTGTACTTAATACTGTTCCTTCGACTGGGAGTCCGTTTCCTCCTCTCACGATGTCGGGAGAACCTGCAGATGCACCCTAAATGCCAGCTCCTGTGGGCATCTTGCCTCATTTCCTCCCTTCGTAACAAAATGCAGCCTTAAAAACTGGCTGAAAGCACGGTACTTGGCTACTTGTGATCCTTTTTTTCGTGATGTTTATATTCTGCTTCATTGTAGTCATCTGTGCATTTATGGTCAATATGCACATTTCTATGTTCCTTTTTGCTTTCACCCCATCATAAACAGTAGCAGAGGCAATGTTTATTTTTGTGTCTCATGCAGCATTTGACACAATACCTTATGTATCAGAGGTCATATATATATATATTTTTAGTTTGAACTAAAAAATTGGTTGAAATATTTTTTGAAGTAGGAAGGACCACAAAGTTTGTCATTTACTACAAATTTGCTTCTTTAGCCCATAGCTGGCTTCCTTTCCCCTTTTGACTGGGAACAAACCTTTGATTCACAGCTGGAGAAAGTCCACAGTCTCTTCCGGCGACAGCTGGCGATCCCACTCTATGGTAAGAGAAACTGACCTGTCGACAGCCGGCCCTCCGTGGTTTTTAAAATGCTTTGGGGTATGTCCTGTCAGTAGGTCTTTCCCAGCATCCTGTGAGGCAGATGTTGCTGGTGTTCTTACTCTCACTGGACAGTGTCACTGTGGACAAGGCCCTTGGTAAAAACATACCTTGAATTGTAAATGGTCAAGAGGATTGAGGGTCAGCCAGCAGGACTAGAAGCCAGACTTGCTGACTCTCAGTTTCCTCTTTTAAGACACTGTTGGAGGGGTAGAGTTACTATAAGGAGTAGGGAAGCTGACCGCCTGTATTTTCTGGGGAAACTTTATTGAGTAAGAGTTCCATTGTGAGCATTTTCTCTTTAGCAGTAACCTCTTCCGTATCAGAATGGGGATTTTCCACAGGCTTACATCATTCTGTGGGGGTGATTTGGTTCAGGAGCACTGTTGTTTGGAAGTGTTCATACCTGAATTTCTTCTTTAGGCGTAGTTATACATTGTACACTCTTGGCTCCTCTGGACAACTGCTTGAGCCCAGACGTAATTTCTCTTTTTACTTTGTGGTTTATTTGGATTTGATTTAACAAATTACAAAGTGGCTTTCCAGTTGAATCCTCGGGTGACATGCAGAAAGGCTGGAACTGAGCAGCCTGCTGGTTTCATCTCATGTACCAATGTGACGTGGCATAGTACAGTGAGTAGAGCATGTACTTGAGCCAGACTGCCTGGTTCAAGGCCTTGCTCTACTGTGAACTGCAGACAATTGATGTAACCCTCTACTTGTGTTTCCTCACCTGCAAAATGGGGATCATGTTAGAACCTACTCCCTAGAGTTGGGAGAATCGAATGAGTTAGTGGATGGAAAGTGTTAGAACATAGGAAGCCCTAGGTAAATTTTGCTCTTATTAACTGATTGATTAACTGGTAGGGCTTCTGGGGGAATTGCTTTGAGACAGAATCTAAGGTCAGGCCTGGGCCCAGGAGAAGATTTGAGCATAAGAGTTGCTGTGGTCACTGATGCAGGGGGGCTAGAATCATCCAAGTCTCGTGGTTTAATCTCTGGGTTGATAAAACTCAGTGGCAAGACCTACGGGGCTGAATCCATCTTTCAATAGATATGGAGGCCACATTTGCAGAGTATGAAGAGTGGTCGGAAGACCCAATACCAGAGTCGGTGATTCAGAACTATAACAAAGCACTACAGCAGTTGGAGAGTTACAAACCCTATGAAGAAGCACTGGTGAGTGTTGGCCTCTTTACAGTAAACTTCTCGCTGCAAATTTTTCCCTAATCAGTAGTTGCATCTTTAAAATTTGTTTTGTTGTGAAATCTATAGAGTGTATAAATGTGTGCGTACAGTTTACATACTAATAATAAAGTGAACATCCATGTACCCACCACCCAGGTTAAGAAATAGAACATTGCCAGTACCTTAGAAGTCTCCTATGTGCCCCTCTCCGATTGCCTCCTCTTCCCTCTCCCGAGAGGTAATCACTTTCCTGACTTTTGTGATAATCGTTCCCTTGCTTTTCTTTATAGTTTTACAATCTATGACCATATCCTTGATTAATATATTGTGTAATTTTGCTTGTCTTTGAGCTTTTATATAATGGAATCATGCTGTGTATTTCCCTGAACATGTTCTTGGGTTGTAGTCACGTTGATAAGTATGGTCTGTTTCCGTGGCTGTGAAGTTGTATGTGTGCGCCACAGTTCATATATCTGTGTTCCCGGCTGGCTCGTTTTCCAGTTTGTTGCGAGGAGGAGCAGCATGTTTCTTGCGCGTGTCTCTTGGTGCACATACGAAAAGGGTTTCTCCAGAGTGTATCCCTAGGAGGAATTGCTGGATCATAGAATCATGCTGAACTGTTTCCTGTGTTACCAACTGACACTCCTGCCCAAGAGTTCTCACTGAACTGAGGATTCTCCTTGGTCTTGCCAGCCTTTGATACTGACATAAATTTTAGCGGCTCTGATGGATCTGAAATTGTAGTTTTAATCTGCATTTCCCTGATGACTAACAAAGTTGAGTGTTTTTTCACATCTGTTGGCCATTCAGATTTCCTTTTTTGTGAGCTGCCTGTTGAAGTCTTTGACTCATTATTTTTTTCTAATTAATTCATAGGAATCCTGGATCTTAATCCTTATTTTGGTTGTATGTATTGCAGAAGCTTCCCCCACATTTGTGGTTTGTCTTTTTAGTTTTTTTAATGGCATCTTTTGATGAGCAGTTCTCAGTCTTACTCTATCATTATTTTATCATTCTTTCTCTTATGGTTCCTGCTTTTGTTACACTTAAGAAATCTCTCCAGGTTCCAAACTCATGAATATTGTTAGCTCTGTTTTCTTCTGAAAGTTTATAGCTGTGTATTTCATGTTTAGATCTTCATATGGAATTGATTTTTGTGTATGGCGTGAGGTGGGGTCCAGTTTCATTTTTCCATACGAGAAGCAGTTGTCCCAGCACTGATTCTGATAATTCCATCCTCCCCTCATTGATGTGTCGGCCCACATCTGTCAGAGATTAGCTGTCCATTGGGGAGTGGATCTATTTCTGGGCTTTCTGTTCTGCTCCACTGGCTGATATTACACTGTCCTAATAATGATAGTTTCATAAGTTTTGCTCTTAGGTAACATGAATCCCATCCATGTTGTTCCTCTTCAAGAGTGTCTTCTCTTTCTTTAGCTCTTAATACTTGGATTTGGAGTCAGCTTTTCAGATTGTATTTAAAAACCTGTTTGAGTTTTGTATTGGAATTGCATTGATCAATTTGAGGAAGAATGTACATCTTATAAATATTGAGTCTTCCAATCTATGAACGTGGTATAAGCCTTTGCTATTTGGGCCTTATCTTTCTGTAAAGTTTTATAAATTTATAATTTCATCTGGTCCCTTGAACACATTCTTTAGATCTGTTTCTAAGTTATTTTGGATCCTATTGAAAATGCCACCTTTTTGAAAGATTTGCTTTTCTAATTGTCCTTGGTATATAAATTGAATTTGTTTTTTATACTGGCTTTTTTGTCTATTGAACTTTCTAATTCTTATTAATGACCAATAGATTCTTTTGGATTTTCCGTGTTGACCATAATATTTGTTTTTTGACCATAATATTGTTTGTAAGTGGCGTTTTTCTACCTCTCTTGGTCTTAGAATCCTTTCAACTTCATTTACCATGCCTCAGACTTACACTCGTGTTTTCTTGTATTTCTTGCCTTCCTGTTTGACCTGAAAGGCATCGTTAAGTTAATCTTGCATTATACAGCCCCAGCTTGCTTACATTCACTACATGCATTTCCCACTTCCTTTGCTCTTCTTCACTTGCATCCTGGAGCTTTCATCTGGAATCATTTTTATTTTGCTTCAGTTATACCCTTTAGAGTCTCCTGCACTGGATATTTGCTGGTAGATTGACAGTTACGTCTCCTGTCTTTCTGGCTTGTGTTGTTGCTGTTGAGACATCGGCTTCTTTGATGGCAATCCTTGTTTTCTCTCTGGCCTATTTTAAAATCTCACTGGTTTTGTTTGGTGTCCCATAATTTCAGTACAGTAGGTCCAGGGGTGGAAATCTTTGTATTTATCTTTTTCGTGGTTGGTTGGGCTTCTTGGCTTTCTTTTTGGTATCTTGTTTTATAGGAAGAATAGTGACTTTGAGAGCCAGGCTGCTTCAAGTTTGGATGTTAGCTCTGCCAGTTACTGGCTCTTTGACTTTGAGCTCGTCCTTAGCCGCTGTGTGTATCAGTCACCTCAGATGTAAGGTGAGGATAAAAATGACACCTCACTGTGAAGATCAAGTCCTTAATAGATCTTACACCAGCAAAAGCTTAACCTTCACCTAGATTTTGTCCTTAGTATTTCTTGTGTCTTTGCCAGTTTTCTGATGATTTTCAAGATGTTTTTCGTACTGAATCCAGCAGTTTTAGTTGTTTTCAGTGGCAGTCTGTCTGGGTAACCAGTTTGTCAGTGTAACTAGAAACTGAGACTAAGATGTCATCTTCTGCTCAGAGCATGTGTGCTCTCCTGCTGGCCAGCCGGTGCTCCCTCTCCCTTTTCCACGTGAAGATGGTTGGTATGCAGTTGTATTTCTCAGAGCCTCATCAATGAAATCCTCAGCTAGTTCATTTTGTTAGTCAAGTGTGGCTGAAGAGGAAAGTTGAGTAGGGGTTTTTGTCTGAAAAGAATTTTGATTGTAGGTCTTTGGATCAGTAAACATTCAGCCTAGCCTCTTTCGTGTTCTGCATGTACCTGTGCGCTGGCAGGAGCTGATATTTGGAATGAGAAGCCTTAGAATGAAGGCAGCGAATCAACTCCAGTGTGGTTGCGTTCACTCCACTCAGTAGGCTGAGAAAGTGACTTCTGTTTCGGAGGGCTGGCTGGCCATGGTCACTGGCAAAGGTGTTTCTCTTTCATTCAGTTTCTGTTGGATGCTCCCATCAGAAACCCCCTGTGGCCTAAGGATGGGTTCAGAAAAGGGTTTATGGAGCCTTTGTAACTGTTGCCATGAAGAGGCACTGTGGACTCTTACTCTGCCTGTCATGTTGTAGACCCCGGCATGCCAGAGGTTCTGAGAGTGGGGACTGGGGATTCTTACTGATGTAGCCAGTCTTGCCAGAATTTAATATGAAGATATGTTGTGCTTCCTAACAGTGTCAGGTAGCTCATTTCAACCTCATTATGCTTCCCCTCTGCCTTAGTTGCAAGCAGAGGCGCCCAGGCTGGCTGAATATCAAGCGTACATTGATTTTGAGATGAAAATTGGTGACCCTGCTCGTGTGCAGTTGATCTTCGAGCGTGCCCTGGTCGAGAACTGCCTTGTCCCAGACCTGTGGATCCGCTACAGTCAGTACCTAGTAAGACCACTTGACTGTTCTACCTTCTCTCCTTTTTACCAATTGAGAACCTGTTCAAGGAAAATGAGCAGGAGTGCCTGGGGTTGGTTGTGTGCTCTCTCTGCTTCCCCAGTTTCCTTTCATCCTCCTTCCCCCTCTGCCAACTCAATTAGGGAGTTCTTCGGGGTTTCAGGTCATTTCAAACTGATCGCTAACTGTAAAAAAATTTGCACAGTCTTCTTATTGAGGACTTCGTGACAGATTAATTTTTTTTCTTGTAACTTTTCATTATGGGAAATAATGTAAGCACTAGGATATAGATGAGTAAGGTGAAACCTCCTGGGCCCATCACCCAGCTCCAACAGTGAACTCACGGCACTAGTCTAGTTTCGTCTATATCCTTAACCTTCTTCCTCTTCCATGTGATTTTGAAGCAGATCCAGAAATCACATTTCATTGGTAAATATTTCAGCACATATATATATAAAAGATTTGACTCAGGATCCAGACTAGGTCCATCCATTAGGATTGGCTGATGTCTCGTAAGCTGTTTTCATCTGTAGGTTCCCTCTCTACCTCTCTTCTTCTATCCCAACTCCCCCTTGCAATTTCTTTGTTGAAGAAACCAGTCACGAGAGGCATTTCTAAGGAAATTTCTTTTGTCAGCTGGTTGTGCTGGAAATGTCTCTCGTGGATGGTAAAGTCTGTAATGGTAGCATTTTATCTCCTAACTCTGGACTTCTTTATCATAGGATCGGCAGCTGAAAGTAAAGGATTTGGTTTTATCTGTACATAATCGTGCTGTTAGAAACTGCCCGTGGACAGTTGCCCTATGGAGTCGTTACCTCTTGGCCATGGAAAGACATGGAGTTGACCATCGAGTGATTTCTGGTGCGAATGATTTTGGGGGAAGACTCAAGCTTTCTGTCCCAGTCCAGAAACCTAGTGCTGTGACAGTCGTTAATTCAGCCTTTCCCTGGGTGTTAGCTTTGGGACATTGGGTGTTAGTGACAGAAAGGGCCCTAAGTGGGAGATAAATTGGTTTTAAGCTTTTAACATGCTAACATTCATTATGATTTTCTGAGAAGTTGGGGTCTTTTCTCCAAACTTACTGATCTGGAATTCTTTTAGTGCAGGGCATCTTGTGGAATGTGCCCTTTCTAGAACAGTTCGTGCAAATCCTGGAGGAGCATTTCTTTTGAACATTTCTCTCTAGCTCATTCACTTTGTTGCCTCCTGTCATTAAGTCATATAGTATTTGATGGTCAGTAGAGGTTTTTATAACCATCTTGATAATTTATATTCACTTCCTTTTCAATTGGTAACAAATCCTGGCTTGTTCTTCAATTCCAGTGACCTTCGAGAAAGCTTTGAGTGCTGGCTTCATTCAGGCCACTGATTATGTGGAGATTTGGCAGGCGTACCTTGATTACCTGAGGAGAAGGGTTGATTTCAAACAAGGTATTTAAATTCACATGTCAAATTCAGTTCTGAATTTTTTCCTAACATGTCTTTCAGTGAGATGTCCCGCTTGCCCAAATAACATCATGATTAGGCAAATGATGTAGACCAGCCACTGGCAACTGTTTTCCCCCAGAAATTTTCACTACTTAAATCCTTAAGTCCTGCTGTGAATTGGGAAGAGACTTAGGGTCCTTAATGTTCTATACCGGCTCCTGCCAGCACTGTCCATAATGTGCTGTTTGTTCCAGTGTCTTTCTCTGCAACTGCGTGATGGGGCAGGACTGGCAATTTTATTTTTGTGTCCCCAGCATGATGCCAGGTGCATAGCAGGCTCCCAGGAGTTTCACTGTAGGATTTAAAAAAAATAAAAAAGACATGGTATGCGGTTTCATGAAGCCGAATCTCTCTTGCAACTTCTAACAGACTCCAGTAAAGAGCTGGAAGAGCTGAGGTCTGCATTCACTCGCGCCTTGGAGTATCTGAAACAGGAGGTCGAGGAGCGTAAGTGTGGCTTCACCCCTCCTTGATGCACTTGTCTTTCCTCTTCTTGGTGGATGTGCCTTCTCAGTCAGAGGCTCTTTGTCTCTAAATTCTTTTCTAATTTTGACTAATTCTGTTCTTACAGGTTTCAATGAGAGCGGAGATCCAAGCTGTATGATCATGCAGAACTGGGCTAGGATCGAGGTAAGTATTTTTGACGGACCTGCCAGTGACATCCACCTTTGAAGGACCTGTGTGTAATGATGTGGCTGATGTTGAGTCAGAATCCTGGGTGATGGTCTAGGGTCTAAAGGATTTTGCTCTATATCTAGCTTGATGCACATTCATCTGTATCTTAGAGAAAACACTAGCACTCGGTAAGAAGTTAGGCAGCAAATGTCAGAATGCCAGGAGTTCACTCATGGACTTCTGCCCCCCTCCCCTTGGTGCCCAGTTTGTGAGAGTAACCCGGGTGTGTACCATCTGCCAGGCATTTTACTGTGTGCTGGGGAAATGAAATAGACCTGCTTTATGCTCTCAAGGCTTTGATCTCGTGTGGAGACAGAAATTTGATGGGATATAATGAGTTGAATGTTATTGTCAGACCAAGGGCCTCAAGTGAGTAAGGTATGGAACTTGCCCTTGATCAGCTCACAGAATTGTGCAATTCTAATCCTGTTTTATTTTCTGAGGGGAGTCAGGTCAAAGCACCAATATCTGTCAGGTTCAGAGAGGTTCACTTGTCCAAGTCACTTAATAAATGGCAGAGTGGGGACCTACTTCTAGATCAGTCTTTCTTTTCTCTGGCCTCAGATTAAACGCTTGTAGTTAAGCTTGATAAAAATAAAAAACAAGTGACTAGCCAGTTCTGTTGTAAGTACCTGTGGGCTCCTGCTCTTTGCTCTCTAACAGTGTAGGCAGACAGCTTGATGCTTGTCACCTCTGAAAGCCTGAAGTGGTTGAGCTGGGCCTGTCGCTGTGGATGGTGGCTGGGAAATGTCCAGGGAGTTAGGGAACACGGATCGTCAGTGGGGGGGTTTTAAGGCATTTCTGTTCAAAGTATGCTTTGTAATGGGTGTCAGTGTCCTAAGGTTTGAGTCTTTCCTAACGGAGCCTGTTAATGCATCTTAGGCTCGACTGTGCAATAATATGCAGAAAGCTCGGGAACTCTGGGACAGCATCATGACCAGAGGGAATGCCAAGTATGCCAACATGTGGCTCGAGTATTACAACCTGGAAAGGTAACCGGCCTGGGGGCGGGGTTGGCAGTGCCCGTTGGGGGTAAGCTGTCTTCAGTCCCAGCTGACCCCTGCCAGCCTGGGCTTGCTCCTTATCACGGGCAGCTGGCCTCCAGCAGCTCGTCCTTCGTTAGTGGCTTTGTGTGTACTGGGCGAGGCTAGGGGACTAAGCCTAGTAATTTGTGCCTGGACTTGTCGCACAGCCATACGTTTCTTTCCGTTTGTTATTTTGGTTTGTTTTGATTTTTGGATATGAATGTTTTATTTGACTTTTTGGGGAACTATTTATTTTTTGTATTTGTTTTGTCTGTAAAAGTGGAAAGTATTAAAAAGTGAAGAGAAAAACCCCAAATTATCTGCAGTGACAGACCCGGAGACGTAACCCCTATTAGCCAATGGTTTGGGTATATTCTTTGAGATATTTCTATGATAGTGTACATGTTACAAATCTCTAAAACTATTTTAAATAAATATGATCAATAATATTTATAACAGGGGAAGATGTAAAGAATATGACCAGCTTTTCTATTCATTGTATCTTGAACACTGCATCTCAGTAAATACATTTTTATATACTTTTTTCTTTTTTGAATGTTTTGGTTTTTTCCCCAATTTAAAAAATAACACTGTGCTCAAATTAAGATAGAACATTTGCCAAACTTTGTGGTAGAGAGTGAAAGTTTATTACCATCTCACCCATAGAGATGACCACTATGAAAGCTTCTTGAAGGGGCGCCTGGGTGGCTCAGTCAGTTATGCGTCTGCCTTCAACTCAGGTCATGATCCCGGGGTCCTGGGCTCCCTGCTTGGCAGGGAGCCTGCTTCTCCCTCTGCCTGCCACTCCCCCTGCTTGTGCTCTCTCTTTCTCTGTGTCAAATCAATAAACAAAATCTTTAAAAAAAACAAAAGCTTCTTGAATATTCCTCTGATGTCAGCAGTTCTCAAACTTTTTGGTCTCAGGACCCCTTATACTCTTAAAGTTTGAGAACCCTGAAAAGCTTTTGTTTGTGTGAGTTGTATGTATTTAATACTACCATATTAGCAACATTGACAAATACTAATAAATATTAATGTCACCATATTAGAAAACTGAGAAATTAAAAAATTATTTAATTGTCAAAATAATAAATTCATTACATTTAACATGAAGAATATATTTTTTATGAAAAATGACTTTTCCAAACCCCAAAATAATTTAGTGAGAAAAGTGGCATGGTTTTTTGTTTTTGCAAGTGTCTTTGAAGTCCGGCTTAGAAGACAGCTGGATTCTGTTGTCTGTTTCTGCATTCACTGTGTTGTGAATTCTCATTGAAGAACATGAAGAAAATTTGGCTTCACGCAGATAGGAGGTTAGAAGGAAGGGGTATTTAACCTTTTCAGATAATTGTGGATATTCTTTCATACTAGAGCAAAATTCAACAAGTGGTAGTTTCTTAAATAGTTGCAGTGTGGAATCTGAAACCATTTATCATTGAATTTCTCAGACTCTTACATTAATATCCATTGGTCTGTTTTGTACTTTGAATAGACCTTTTACCCACACGTGAATCTGTGACATGCATTGTTCATTTGGAGAATACTCATTCACTAAGTCATGCAGCTCTTCTCAGTATCGACACATTTCATCATACAGTATTTAAAAAATCACATTTGGGGGTGCCTGGGTTGCTGTCGTTAAGCGTCTCCCTTCGGCTTGGGTCGTGATCCCAGGGTCCTGGGATCGAGCCCCGCCTCGGGCTCCCTGCTCCGCGGGAGGCTTGCTGCTCCCTCTCCCACTCCCCCTGCTTGTGTTCCCTCTCTCGGTGTGTCTCTCTCTGTCAAATAAATAAATAAAATCTTTAAAAAGAAAAAAATCACATTTGTTCATATCCTCAATGATGTTAGTAGAAAAGGTTTTTGGTTTTTTTTTTTTTAAGATTTAGTTATTAGAGTGTGTGCGCATGCAAGCGGGAGGTGCAGAGGGAGAGGGAGAGAATCTCAGGCAGACTCCCCACTGAACATGGAGCCTGACCCAGGTGGGGGCGGGGCTCGATCCCACGACTTTAAGATCCTGACCTGGGCTGAAACCAAGAGTCGGACATTCAACCGACTGAGCCACCCAGGCACCCCAGTAGAAAAAGTCTTTTAAGTAGGAAGCTGTCAAACTCAAAGTGGCAGATACAAATTGTCCAAAATTCTGATTTTCACTTAAAAGCTGCCATTTTATCATGGCAACAAATAACAGCCAGGGGTTTTCCTTGAGGTGACGGACTTCATTAGTTTTCAAAAATGTCTCCAGATACGCAGGTCTCTGTAACCACAGCTTTTGTCACTCAGCTATTTTCTCAAGTGAAAACGGTGTTCCAGGAAAAAACAAACTAGTAGAGCTTGCACCCCAAACAAAAAGATAGGCTTTTCTTTGTGACAGCCATTGCTTTATGTGTATATCTACTTACGTCACACAGAATTTGAAAAGTACGTGTGTAGCCCTGATTAGTGCTAAGGGCCACCGCAGCTTTTACACCATCAGTGCAGATGTCAACACAGTGAAAAAGTCAGTTAATGTTCAGTAATAATGAAAGTGGTTTTGACTTTGCACATCACCTGAAAGGTCTTAAGAGATACCCCCTTCAAGGGTACATGGATCATACTCCTGAGAACCGCTGCTATAAGTTTTTTTTCCAGTGTTCTAACATGTATTTGTAATATTTATGTATATTTATAAGTTATTTTTAAATAGAAATGGGAACATAGCATTTCATAACTGTCATTAGTAAGACAACGTTGTTTATAATTACCGTGATTAGCGGTGTATCTTTCCATGAGTATCAGAATGTATAACTCTGGGCATGAAATCTGACCATCCTCTGGATTGGGTGATTCTCCCCTTGGATAGGACAGCATCCCAGAATTTCTCTAAGGACTTGATCAAGTTAGTGTGGCATTCTTAGATTCCCCACCTGTGTGGCAGATGCCAGTGCTATAAAGGTGGGACACCTGGTCGCAGACTACTGTCCCAGGTACATTTTCTAGTAGCATCTCCTTGCTAATGAAAAGAGTGACTTAGAAGAAAGCCTTAGTGTTGACTGGAGGAAAAAGGAGAAAACGCTGTAAGTAGCAATAATACAAATAGCTGTGGATAGTTCTGGAAGCCAGAGTCGCCGCAGAGCTTCTGATCTTGTGCCCCTCCCTTTGTGTGCCTTCTGTTTTGTGTCCTGGTGGCAGCAACGGTTTGTTTTCTGTCCTAGGGCACACGGTGACACCCAGCACTGTAGGAAGGCCCTGCACCGGGCTGTCCAGTGCACCAGCGACTACCCGGAGCACGTCTGTGAAGTGTTGCTCACCATGGAGAGGACAGAAGGTGGGGACCCTCAGCTCTCTGCTGCTGGCTTGGAGTCTGTCCCCTCCGCCCTTTGGTCTCAGGACCAGAGTCTGTGAGGACAGACTGTGTACCGGTACAGCCGCTCGAGTGGCGCTCTGTGATTAGAACTGTCACGTGAGCCCACATCCCCTTGCCCCTCTCCTCGGAGTCTCCAAATACAAGGAGGGCTGTCTGTGACGTGGCTCTGGCACAGGGTTCTCTTTATTCTTTGTGGTGGATGCTGTTCTGTCTACTCGCTGGGTACCAGTAGCACTCCTCCCTTGCCTCCAGTCATGACAGAAACATCTTCAGACGTGTTGCCTGGGGATCCAGATCGCTCTAGTTGAGAATCTGTGCTCTAGCACGGCGTCATGCACACCAAAGGCACGCCGAGAGGCAAAGGGTTAAGTGTGGGCATTGGTCGTGTGTGCATCCCTTGTAAATTTTAGAGCCTCGGTATTAAGTTATCAATAGGGAAATGGTGAATTTATCCATGGGCATTGATCTGGATTTTGGGTGTAAACTCCTCAGAACTGGAAATAAAACACCCAAGCAACAACAGCAAATAAAAAACACCGCAACGTTTATCATTTGAGCAGCTCTTAAAATCCTCAGTCTTCACATAAATGTTTTGTACCTTTTACATTAGAATGTCTTCATAATCTTCCCTAATGAGAGTGATAGGTCATATTCTGGTTTTCAAGTCTTTTTTTAAAAAGGGATTTTTTAAAAACTTGTTTTAAGACTTATTTATTTACTTATTTAGAGAGAGTGAGCGAGCACGTGTGGAGCAGGCTTGGGCAGGCGGGAGGGGCAGAGGGAGCAACGCCGGTGCTCGATCCCAGGACTGTGAGGTCATGACCTGAGTGGAAATCAGGAGTTGGACGCTCAACTGACTGAGCCACCTAGATGCCCCAGGAGAAGGGATGTTTTAAATACACCTAGAAGGGGGTGCCTGGGTGGCTCAGTCGGTTAGGCATCTGCCTGCTGCCTTCAGCTTAGGGCATGATCCTGGGTTCCTGGGATTTCCCTGCTCAGCAGGGAGTCTGCCTCTCCCAGGCCCTCTGCCTCTCCCCCTCCGCTCATGCTTTGTCTCTCACTTTTTCTCTCAAACAAATAAATAAAATCTTAAAAAAAATAAACACACCTGGAAGAACTGTTCAAATTCTAAAAAACTCAAGCCTACAGTAAGGAAATCTGAAAATGGAGAGCCAGCTCTCCAGTTCTTATTTCTCATGGGAGAGATCTCTTGTGGAGGTGTGGGGGAAATTAAGAAAATTTCATATTATCCTATTCTTTAAAATTCTAAAAAGTGACGATTTGCTTCTGTTTCTATCAAGGTACTCTAGAAGATTGGGATATAGCTGTTCAGAAAACCGAAACTCGATTAGCTCGTGTTAATGAGCAGAGAATTAAGGTAATGATGCTCTTAAAGTCTTCAGAAGCTCTGCTAGCTATTTTGACTGTTTGGTATGAATATTTCTTGTCAAAACCTCTGAGGTCTTCCTAAGACGTATCTCTTATTCAGAAAATATTAGTGAAATACTTGAATCAGTATATTTAAGCCTATCTTGTATCATTTTCTTGGATTGGCTTAGAGCTTTAGCCCTGACAATAAAAACTTTATGTAGTTGGGGACTTTGGGACCTAAAGTTTACTGAGATCTAGATGGGAAAGCTAAGAACGGAGCCTTACTTAGCCCCGTGAGTGGAAGATAAACACATCTAAATTAATTAGAGCCCCAGTTTTATACTTTGTTTTCTTTCTTTTGGTGAGTAATTACTGGGGATGTTGCAGAACATTCTGTAGACGTGAGATTCGGAGTCCTGAAAAGTCCGAATAAGCCCCGGCAGGGACAGTTGTGAGCGCGCCCTCTTCCTCCCCCTCGTGACCTTCCCTTCCCCTGGGGTAGCCAGTTTCCACTCCCCTGCATCCCCTTTCCTCTCCGCTTGTCCTGGGCCCGTAGAGTGTGCGCAGTTGCTGCGTCCTGGTGACGCGTCCCTGTTCTCATCTTCCCAGGCTGCGGAGAAGGAAGCAGCGCTTGCCCAGCAAGAAGAAGAAAAGGCCGAACAGCGGAAGAGAGCGCGGGCCGAGAAAAAAGCGCTGAAAAAGAAGAAAAAGACCCGAGGCACAGACAAGCGCAGAGCAGAAGAGGACGATGAGAAGGAGTGGGGTGATGATGAAGAAGGTGGAGCTTTCTGGAAATGTTATTTGGGAACATCTGTAACGTCCAGAGAAGTTACAGACACTGTACAGAGAACTTGTGTCTTGAACCGGCTGAGAATACATTGCTCGCATGGTGCCCCGTCACCCTTCCTGTCCCTGCCCTTCGTCCACATGGGCGTCCTCCTCCCCCTGCTTGGGCTCCCTGCCATGAGCTCGGCACTGCCCTGCAGCCGCTCCCGCCTGTCCAGCCGGGCTCTGCTCCCTCCACTGTGCCATTGCCCCCTTTGCCTGTCCCCTGTGTGGTTCCCCTTCACCCTGCTTGGGCTCCCACAGCCCGGCTGACCCCGTCCCTGCCCTTCATCCCCTCAGGCTCCAGCATCCCACCCTGTAGCCTGCACGGACACCTGCCTCGCTTGGCCCGTTGGGTGGTTTTGACTTGGTGGAGTTTCCAACTAGGGCTTCTCTCGCTCCTGCCATTTCAGGGGTGAACAGGTGTGGGTCAGATTTATTTCAGCAGCGTCCGGCAAGGGAAAGAATTGTTTGTAGACATTCAGAGACTCCGTGCATTTTCCTGGTACAAAGGTGTCAAACAACGGGACCTTTCTTGTGCACCTTTTTGAGGCCGTCAGAAATGACCATGGCTGGGTAGCTCACTGGCCTTTAGGGCTCCAGGTTTAGCAGGGAAGGCAGACGTGACGTGACCGCAGTGGCATATGATTGGGACTGTGGGAGAGGACAGTCTGGATTAATAGTGGAGGCCAGAGGAGGCCGTGGTGGGGCAGCTTCCTGCAGGAAAGACTTCATGTACCTCAGCGTCTGGAGGCAGGAGTGGGTGACTTGTCAAGTGCAAAGGAAGGCAAGGGTAAACCAGACAGCACCGCTGTCAGCAAGGCATGAGGCACAGAACACCGTGGAATTTTCTCTGAGCAGCAAATGACTGTTTGAGCCCTGATGCATGCTGAGGGCTGTGTGCTGGGGTAGGTGAGGCTGGAGTAGCTGGCTATCTGGCCCACTCAGGGCCACTCTGGAATGTGGTGTGCATTGGTTAGACTGCATTAGGAAAGCAGTGAGGAATTGATGGAAAGGTCTGGAAGTAGGGCCAATGCCAACTGGCTTTCAGTACTGACCCTCTGGAGGCAGTGGGGCAGATGGGTTGGAGTAGAATGTTGTTAAACTGCTGAAGGACACAAGACAATAGTGAGCATAGAGGAGTTACAGTGCTTTGCAGAGTGTGGCCTGTGGAGCGCATACGTCAGAGTCACCTAGGGCGCTTGTTTAAATGCAAGTCCCCAGAGGTGCCTGGGGGTTCATCTGGTTAAGTGTCCAACTGTTGGTTTCAGTACAGGTCATGATCTCAGGGTCGCAGGATCGAGCCCCATGTCGGGGTCCGTGCTCAGTGCGGAGTCTGCTTGAGATTCTCCCCCAACTTGCATGCCTGCACTCACTCTCGCTTTCTTTCTCAAATAAAATCTTCAAAAAAGACCAAGAAAATGCAAGTCCCCAGGCCCCATCCCTCCCTTGCTGCCCCAGGCTTTCTAGGAGAGGGGTACTGGAATTTGCCATCTGAACTTTGAGACTCCCTGACCTTTTATGCAATTGACCCGTGAACCTTGGGGCTTAGGGGTGCTGACCCCCCACACAGTCAAAAATCCATGTTTACCCATGTTTGCCTTTTGATTCTCCAAAAACTTAACTACTAACAGCCTACTGCTCACTGGGAGCCTTAACAGGATAATGTAAACAGTTGACTAACACCTATTTTATATGTTATATGTCATCTGCTTACCATAAAGAAAACGTTATTGCAAAAATCACAAGGAAGAGAAAATACAGATTATATTTATCATCTCAAGCCCGGCCAACTGTAAGAGTGGGTAGCAGGGGCTTATGTTACCTCTTCACTTAATTTAGTCTACTTGCCTGAATGAACCTGGGGCCCAGAAAGTAGGGGGACAGGGTGAGTGGGTCAGGCAAGACTTGACAGAGGGTGTGGTGTGTGCCCGGCTCCAGAGGCAGGAACGGGTGTGTCATGTGCAGCTGCTGCAGGCCCACTGTCCCGCAGTGCGGGGAGGGCTTACACCGAGCCGCTCACTGGAGAGAAGAAGCAGTTCATTAATTGTTGCTGCTTTTCTTCTTTCACCCTGTAGAGCAGCCTTCCAAACGCAGAAAGGTGGAGAACAGCACTCCTCCAGCCGGGGAAGCACAGGGCCTGGAGGCAGAAACGGGACTCTTTGGGAAGAGTGCACCTGTAGACGTTGACCCCCCCTCCAAGCAGAAGGAGAGGGCGGCCGCCCTCAAGAGGGACGTGCCCAGGGTGCCCCATGACAGCAGCAAGGACAGCATCACCGTCTTCGTCAGCAACCTGCCCTACAGCATGGGCGAGCCGGCTGTGACGCTCCGGCCGCTCTTTGAGGCCTGTGGGGAGGTGGCAGAGATCCGCCCCATCTTCAGCAACCGGGGCGATTTCCGAGGCTACTGCTATGTGGAGTTTAAAGAGGAGAAGTCGGCCCTGCAGGCGCTGCAGTTGGACCGGAAGACTGTAGAAGGGAGGCCGATGTTTGTTTCCCCCTGTGTGGATAAGAGCAAAAATCCCGATTTCAAGGTGGGTCTGTGCAGAAAACGCCTTTCATGAATGCTTTTTGCCTTCAGCAACTAACATTTAGAATCTACATGGAATATCTGTAGTCTGTTAAGAACTAGACTCACACGTTAACCAGGGTCTGTTCTGAGCTGGGTAGGTGAGGTCCTGACTCACGGCTTGGTCACTTTGAGCTCGCCCTAGTTGACAAGTGATGAGAAAATTAGAAATTACAATGATGGCTACTTGCCACTGAACATTGAGGGAGTGGCAAGGGGTCATGCGGAGTATTTACTCTATTACCTTGTCAGATCCTCACCCTAACTCTGAGAATAGCGGCTTTCATCCCTGCCATGTTCCGGGGGAAGAAGGGGGCGCTTTGAGAAGTTAAGTGACTTGCCCAGGGTGACCCTGTTAACAGTTGCAGCACCCAGAGTTGGCTCTGGTCTCTGGCTGGGGTGAGGCCTGTGGCCGAGTCTGGTACCGGCTGTAGTATGGTGCGCTGGGCCGGGCCATGGGAGTTTGACTGTTTCCCTCCCTTCTTCCTGTAGGTGTTTAGGTACAGCACTGCCCTGGAGAAACACAAGCTGTTTGTATCAGGCCTGCCTTTTTCCTGCACTAAAGAGGAACTAGAAGAGATCTGTAAGGCTCATGGCACCGTGAAGGACATCAGGCTGGTTACCAACCGGGCAGGCAAACCGAAGGTCAGTGTCTGCGCAGACGGTGTTAGCCTCCTGAGGCTTGGGCAAACCTAGTTCTCCATCTGTTCAGATTATTAGCTTCTGAGTGGCTTCCTTGTTTGCTGAGAAACAAACAACAGAACAATAGGGACACTTGGCTCTGCGTGCATTTGGAGTCAGATTAACCTGTTTCTAATTATACTAAAAATAATAGGGCATTGGGGGAAAGAACACTTCCCACGAATTAGGAGGGGCCACAGTGCAGACTGCTAGCTGTGTGCACCCTCCCGCCCAGGCTTGCCTCTTCACTAGGCCTCCAGGCACCTCCTCCAGTCCGAGACCCCATCACGTCCTCCCGCTAGCTCCCCTCAGTGTCCTGTGAAATCCTTTCCGTACCACATTCTGAGTAGTTGTTCAGGCACGAGCGTGGGTTACCTGCCTTTCCCCCAGCCCTCTGGGTTGATGGAGAGTTGAAGAGCATGAAGTAAGGAGGGGCCAGGGCCCATACATGAGGGCTCACCCTGTGCCCAGCTGCCTCATTCATTTGCTCTTGCTGGATTTATACTGGTCGGTCTGTCCCACTTCCCCTCCCTATCTTTTCTTACCTTTTCCTTTTTTTTTTTTTGGAGCAAGCACAAGGTACGCTGACCTCACAAAGGTTATGTGAAGTTACAGTCAGTTGCATAAACAGGGAGGAAGGGTAGGGCCAGTGAATAAACCTATAGCCAAAGGATGGTGGTAGTGGGGAAGGGAACCTGATGTTGGGCTGCCTGCCGGGTACTGGCTTCTGGACTGAGGCAGGAAGTTGGGTCCTGGCTCGGCCACACCTGATCCGGCTTTGGATCTTGCCTCCTATAGGGCCTGGCCTATGTGGAGTATGAAAATGAGTCCCAGGCATCACAGGCTGTACTGAAGATGGATGGCATGACTATCAAAGACAATGTCATCAAAGTGGCCATCAGCAATCCCCCTCAGAGGAAGGTTCCAGAGAAGCCAGAGGCAAGGAAAGCTCCAGGTGGCGCCATGGTGCCTCGGCAGATTTACGGAGCGTAAGTGTGTGCAATGCTACCCTGCCCGAACTCGGCCCTGGCCAGCACCGCGGTGGATTCGTGTCCTGCTAGTGTAGTGAGCTGGGGCGGGAAGCCAGGGCCTGCTGTTCCTGGGGATGCTCACTGTCACTCCCCAGAGCAGCTCCATGCAGAGTGCAAGCCCGGAAGTGCAACCCTTCCTGGTGTTTGCCAGTTTACACATGTGATTTATCTGAGGTCAGTTGGTTTCTAGGCAATGATTATTTTAAAGTCTTCTTTGGCAGTAGAATCCATACGTGTGGATTCAGAACCTGACAACCGCATGCTTGCCAGGGTAGTCTACACTGGCTATAATCAGAAGAGCTAGCTTTTCACCTGGTAGGAAGGAGACTGCAAAATCCTGAGGTGGTTTGGTGAGGTCTGAAAAGAGGATAGCATTTGTATCCACCCTATGTGTGACTGTTGCACAGGGTTGGTCTTTGCCAAGATTGTGAAAACGGCAGTTTGTTAAACTGGTTTTTGCATATTAGAGTCACAGAGAACAGGGATCATCTCCCTTTTCTGGTTTTTACTCTTCACCTCTTAACTTGGTACTCTGCACATTTCGAGAAACTTCTCTACTAACAAACTACAGAAATGAGCCCGGAAAGTATGGTCTTCACTTTGTAACTTTGGGTGATTAAAGACCATCCTGGCTTATTTTCGCAAATAAAGCAGGGGCCGCGAATGGTTGCTTTGCAAGCGTACATCCAGTGTTTGTTCTTCCAGGCGGGGGAAGGGGAGAACCCAGCTCTCCCTGCTGCCTCGTGCCCTGCAGCGCCCGAGCGAGACAGCCACCCAGGCCGAGAACGGCCCTGCCCCGCAGCCGGCGGTCACCGCCTCAGCAGCCGAGGCACCCAAGATGTCCAATGCTGATTTTGCCAAGTTGCTTCTGAGAAAGTGAACCTGACTCCTTAGAAGGGAAATGCCTTACTGCACACTGGCCAGGAAAAGCACCCGGCACCCAGCTGTACTCTGGGTATGGAAGGGCCCGGGGCAGCACCCCTCCTATGTATTTTCCTCGGGGTTAGAAAGGGATGAGGGTGTCCAAGGAAGGAGGCTTGAAGCACTCCCTCATATTGAGGGCAATAGGAGGAAATTGATCACTCCATGGGTTGGGCCCAGTGTGTAGTTTCTTAAGCTATTTTTGTGTCTTATAGAGTGAGAAACAGAAGTGAAACTCAAACACACCATTTTGAGACCCGCTTGTCCAAATGTTTTCGGCCAGCTCTGACTCTCTTTTATAAGACACTTCTCTTACAGCCTGCACAGCTCATGTGCCCGTCACTCTTTTAATTTTAAAAGACAAAATGGCAGATGCTAGTAATTCACCAGAATGGCCTATTTTAGTAAAGGGGTGGTGGGGATAGGGGAAATCACATAAAAAACATTTGGTGGATTTTTGTTCAAGGGGGGGCTGTGCGTTTTTATATTATGTATTTGTAAATGACACATCAATCCTTTGTTTTATGTTTCCTGAAAGCAAAATATTTGTGACCTTTGTTTTATATGGGAGTTCTGTGTGCCACCTGCTGTGGACCATTTTCTTTGCCTAGTGATTAGTGAACCGTGTTCTTTGTCTAAATATTGAGTTTCAGCCCTTTGGTTTTGTTTAAATACCATGTCAAGTGCAAACTGAAATTCTCCCCACTTAGCTTTGTTTATTAAACTGAAGTTCTCTTCAAAACTTCTTGCTGAACGGTACTCAGATGTGCATTCAAACATGGATGTATTTTGAAATGGGTGCACTTGTCTTACCTGACAGATGTGTAAATAGAACTTTTGTAAGTCAAATCCTGTTGTCCCTTTGATTTAAATCATGTCAGTTGTGATGGGTCTTCTTCAGTTTTAAACTTCACTTTGCTGCATTTTGGCCCTTCAGCTTCTAGGCTTTTTTTTTTTTTTTACATCTCATCTCTTATCAAATATTTATTGCTTTAAAAGCCATGTTGCCAGTTCAGTAGGGAAAAGGACTTTTTTATAAAGACACTCTGGGGGAAGAAATCAGGAAATGCTTTCATGTGTGCTAGAAATCAACCCACTTCAATTGGTTTTTAAGTTTTTGTGCACCAGGCTTTACTACATTTTTAACGGGGAATTGGAAGTGTCATCCAAAAGTGTTGATTGACAAAAGAGCAAAAGGAACTCATGTGCCCGTCCTTGAGCTTCAGCATCCCTGTCTAGCACAGGGGCCTTCATCTCTGCCGCCCCGCCCTCCCTGTTACATCGCGGGCTGTGTCAAACATGGTGGCAGCAGCACCCGCCCGCCCCCCCCCCCGGGGTGGGGGGACTGCAGTGAGTGCCTCCAAGAGATAAGGCCCTCCAGGCCACAGTTTAATCATTACTCCTAGAAACATGAGCAATAATGCCTTCAAGTCCTCAACTATCCAAATTCCTAGTTTCCTGTTGTTTTGTAAGTGCGTCCCCCCTCCCCCAGGAAGTTAGGATTGGTTGATAAACCTCTGAAGTCTTTTAATCTGATGGTTCCCGTCTACCTTGTCTCTTTTTCACAAGATATTTTTTGTTAGGTGTTAGTTGTGAATTAAGTTCACGTAGTGGCCAGAAGAAGTGTGCTGTAACCCTGATCCCTCCTGTGTTCTTTGGAATGGGCACTCAGCCCCGCCCCCCGGAAGCCTGTTGGTTGGGTGAGCGGACTGGGGACAAGCAGGGACTGCCACCGAGGAACCCTGAGTATCTCCTCACCCTTCCAGGCTGCCGTGGCTTCCTTCCTGCTGCTGCACGTTTCGCCGTTCCTCTCGGGGTTGGCCAGTCTTCTATCCTCACTTCATGCTTTCTCGTGTCAACACAGGCTCATTACAGAATTGAACCCGCTTGGACTTGAGCTCAGGGTGTGGATGGTCCTAGAGATGGACCGTCAGGAACATGTGAGTGGGTTTATGTGTTTTCCCCAGGAAATCAAGAACTGATGGTAGAGAGAAGCACGAATCACCATTTGCATTACTGGCGTGTTAGCGGAAGACCAGTGCTTCAGGCCCACCAGCGCAGGTAGGTAGCTTACCCCCACAGTTTCGTCTCACTTCCCTGTCGAAATGAGCGCTTCATACCATAGTACAAACAGGGCTTAACGTTCCGAAAGGATTCCTCCTTCATCCTTGTGACAGATGGGAACATCATTTGAATAAGACAGCAAAGTCTCAGGCCTTTATGTAATAAAATACTTTATTAGAGTCAGTAATCTCTTAAAGTAACATCCTTCACAACAGAGCTAAAGTGCACGTTTCTCTCTCGTACAAAGCACGCACTTCTGTCAGGCTTCCTTGGTGTGCTTATAAAACCAAGACGATAGAATAGTTCAGGGGCAGAGAGCCCTCATGGCAGCATACGAGTATGCAAATATTTTTTATAAAGGTTTGAATAACTATCCCTTGGGGCCACTTCACAAAGATTTCTTAATCTTTCAGAAAGCTACTCTGTGCCTATTACACAGTTAAATAACTTTAGAAACATCTGCTACCTCAGAAGAGTGACCTCCTTCCTGTCAGGGTATGACTTCCCAAGTCAGAGACTACACTTTGTATGTGTTCACCACCATTCCGACCCTGACAAAGTGCACGACAGCGTTGGACGTCCCCAGCCCCTGTCACTGGCAAAGGAACCCGTGGCCCTTTGGACTCTGAGCAGCACAGCAGTGGTCATCGCGGCACCTGGACCGACATGCTATTGATAAAGAGTCTTCTCCCATAGAATGAAGACTTGGAAACTTGGCCATATCACATAGGACATTTTATCATTTTACAAGATGCTAGAAAAATAAGGCCACTCTAAGGCAATCTCTTCTGCTTCCCCGAGGGGACACGGGACAGTACAAGGGCTGGGGGAGGTGGGGGTCAAGTCAGTAAGTGGAGAAGACTGCATGACAAAAGGGGCACATCCTGCCTGGCTGAAAGGTTTTTCCTGGTTTGGTAGAAACTCCCTCTAATTCATTATCAAAAATGCTAATTTGGTGTTGACGTGGCAACTGTTTTCTCGGATGTGTTCTTGAATATCTGCCTACATGAGATGTTCAACTCAAGAGTCGGGGGTGAGGGCAGACTTGGCTACTTGCACAATACCTGATCTGCAGTAGGATTCAGTTGCGTGACAAACCCAGAGAACTTGTAGACTAAAACATCTGGTCTGAGTTGCTGCAAACGAAGTGCGAGAAACATTTCATACACAGAGAAAACCAAGCTGGCCACTCCCCTATTCTCTTAATTAGAAAAACAGTCTTGATAAGGGAACATAACAGCCTCTGGCACTAGAGTGTGCAAGCTATGACTTAAGGACTTCCTTGAAATGAGAAAGGTATCTAACTAGAAATGTTGTCAACATTAATTTTATTTCATCTCTCAAAAGTTTGCTGGTCTACCAGTGAGAATTAGTCACAACGCCAACCTCTTCGTAGAAGCAAGCTTTCAGTCATTTCTCAAAACCGGGACCAGGTTCTCCCCAAGAGTACTCTCAGGTCAAGTCACAGGACATTTGGAGGAGTTCCTCCTATGGCTTTTGGACCTCCTTCCAGACTTCTGGCCTCTTCCCACCTGAGTGCAAATTCTGCTCCAGAACCTGTGTTCTGGTCACACACACAGCATTGATGCTCCCAAAGCCTCCCTCCTTAGGGACACCAGCGCAGACAGACGCCACACAACATTTACTAGCCCCAAAGAGGAAAATAAATAATAACTTGGGCTGAACTATAAGTTACCTTAGAGATAAGGCTTAATAATTTAGGTCTTCTTTTTTTTTTAACTAAAACATTTGGAGGTAAAGAACGTTTAAGTTCATTTTCTGTCTCCATTTGCTTTAGGAGACAACGAGGTTTCTAGAAATGCTAAGGGTTTCCCCCCCCCCCTTGGGACATCCCTTGTCACCAAGGGAGGATTTCCAGGGTTAGGGCTTCACAGGCAGTGTCTCCTTAAACCCGGAGTGGTTGGGTTTGGCCTCGGGCAGTGCCACCGGGTACTCTGTTGTGGCAAAGAGCAGGGTGTCCAGAGTGGTCTCTGTACACTTGGCAATGAAGCGGATGAACGGCCTCACGTCGCCTTCATTGGCGACCTCCAGTACATGGTAGTACTCGGACCTCTGCTCCTTGCGGATGGTGATGGGTGGGTAGCCCGCCTGCATCAGGATGAGGTTCATCAGCAGGCGCGAGGTCCTTCCGTTGCCATCGATGAAAGGGTGGATGTAAACCAATTTATAATGGGCCAAGGCTGCAAACTCCACTGGGTGCAGATTCATGGCGTCCTCGGAGTTGAGCCACTGGATGAACTCCTGCATCTGCTTTTCCACATCTTGAGGATGGGGAGGGATGTGGTGTCCCACGAGGACCTGGGTCGTCCGAAACCTGCCAGCTTCCACTGGATCCACGTAACCCAGCACCCGCCTATGGATCTCCAACACATCGCTGATGGTGACAGACCCGATGCGGGAGACTAGCGTCGTGTTGATGTATGTCATTGCTGCGTGCATGCCGATGACTTCGTTCTGCTCCTCCAGGCTCTTGCCTGGCACGGCGTAGCGAGTCTCCAGGATGTGCCTGATTTCCGAGAGGGTGAGGGTGTTGCCCTCGATCGCGACTGTGTGGTAGATGTGATGGTAGTAGGTTTCCTCCATGACTCTGCGCAGCGCGGAGTTGCCCTTGGGGATGGACATGACCTTCTTCACTTTGCTGTCGAGGATGCTAAAATACCTCTGGTCGATCTCCTCGACCAGCGGCAGCGTCCGGTCCCGGTTGACCAGCGCTTTCTCATGGTAGGGCGAGATGGTCAACGCTCTGGTGTATAAGTAATCCGCCTGGATGATGTCCCTGTCCTCTTCTGAAAAGATGCCAAACTCGTTGAGCGCATCCACGAAGTCTGGGTCCATTTTGAGGGCGTGCAGGAAGAGCTTGTGGGCTTTCTCCCGCTTGCCTTGGCGTTTCATCTCCAGGGCTTGGTTCAGAGCTGCTTTGGCTTCCAACTTACCACCTAGAAAAGAGCCAGAGTAGTGTTGGCGCAGGACGGGGGGGGGCAAAGGATGTTCAGGAGAGCTGTCCCCTGTGCTGGCCCTTCAGGGGGGCTCATTCCAGTCCCTCTGCTCACTCTACACTATGGATGCATTTGTGCCCTGCAGCTGGTTTTTGTCTGTGTGTCCCCAGAGCCATTCTCTGTACCCTGGAGGTACCACCTGGACTCCCTGGCCCCCTGCCTTCTGAGTGCCCGAGTGAGTGGCTGCGGCCACAGCTCCTGTTAGGTGGCTCTCCCATATTCTTAGTTCTCTGCAGTCCTGGCTCAGTCCTGGTGATGCTGGCCCTGGCCCCTGGCCCTTCAGGCATGGGCTGGTAACAGTTCCCCCCTAGTGCTAGGCTCCAGAGGATTCCCCATCCCTGGGCTGTTCTTAAATCTTTCAACCCAGTGTTCTCAACCAGGGGTGATTTTGTCCGCCCCCCCCCCCCAGGCGACAGCTGGCAGTGTCTGAAATGTTGGGTTGTCCGGGGGGGGGGGTGCTACTGGCATCCAGTGGGTAGAGCCCAAGGATGCTGCTCAGTATCCTACAGTGCAACCCAGAGGAGTGTCGTGTGGAGGGAGAGAAACTGCTCTAGATCTAGCCCTCCGTCATCAGCCCCTCCACCCACACAAGGGGCTGCTTTTAGTCACATGCGCAGGCTTTCTCACCCTCTGGTCTCCACCTGGTGCACTTGCCTCTCATGCCTTTTCCTTTGGGTCATTTTCCTATTTACACTGGGGTCTCAGCTCAGGCATTCCCTCCAGGGAGTCCGCCTGGTGTGCCCGGTTTCCCACCACCGCGCTGGT